TAACCATTATCGCTCTTACGTCTGAATCTTTTTGTCTTTAGCATAATTTAATGCTTATTATTATATTTAACTTCATGTATATTTTATGCATACCGTAGCTCTGCTCATGTTATATATGTATGTATACAATGTGTTTCAACGCGTGTAACAAAAAATAATTTTATAATTTAATAATAATATGAAATTTGTGTAAATATATAAAGGATACAGAAATGAGTAATTAAAAATAATAAAAAAAAATTCAGAATTTTTAAATGAGTACATAATATATGTATGTATTTAAATTTTAAGAATAATAAATATACATACACAATACTTACGTAATATAAATGTATGCGAATCTTATACAAAATGCGCACTCAACTCAATACATGCATGAATTATTATATGTATTTGTGTGTTAAAATATTTTGGAGTATTAATAAAAATGTATGAATGCATATTGTATAACGGTATAATTTCGATTTTTCGTTTTAAGTAAAATTTGATATCATTGCATTTCTTTAAATATTATTATATAATAAGAATTATATTTGATTATAATTAGATTAATTTTTCAATTCAAATATGAATATTATAGCCATTAACCACTTGAAAAAAAAATGAAAAAAAATTTTAAAATCACTTTGATTTATAATTATTATAGTATAAGAACTAAATTTTCATCTTCAATTTCTAAAGTTTTTTTATATTTAACTTTAAATTCAATTATTATTATTGTTATACATTGGTATAACTATTATCTATTAAATAATTTCAATTATTTTTGAAAAATAATTTAAAAAATATGAATTTTTGAATACTATGACGAACTTGAAAATAAATTTACCGAACCGTTCACTGCTAAAGTTAAACTGATCACTGCTACAATAAAATACTTCAGCTTAGGTTATTTTTTCTCTCCAAATTAACTGCTAGCAATTAGATTAGCGCTTTATTACATTTTTTTCTAGTATGTCTTATTCAATTAAATATGAGTACAAATGTGTAGTATTTATGTATGTATGTTTAATAAATTATAAAAACTCATAATTTATCTATTAATTTATTTCATATACATATACAATATATAGAGCATTGCCAGAATTTCATAAATTATTTCGAGACATTTTAAATTGTTAAATGTACTTTGAATTGTTGAATTACATAAATGTGTACATATTATTGCTTTCTGAAATATTTTTACAAATTTACATATTAAAATTATATAAATAACGAATATATTAAATCCAATTAAATCCAACACTTTAAAATTTATATTTGAAAATTTTGAGTTTTGTCAGTGTTGCAGCAAACCAGCTTACTTTTCTAGTTAATTAATAGTCTTACTTTAATAATTAAAGTTATAATAATCTTAATTTATTGTTTCTTCTAATATAAAATTATTGGTATTACCAATTTGGAGACATATACATACATTACATACATTTATGAAAGCTATTTATAAAATTTATAAAATTAAAAAAATTTATGTTTAAATTTTGTAATTTTATAAATTTTTTATAAATACACAAATATTATATAAATGGATTGGTTTACAAAAGAGGTCCAAAATTTACGTAAAGAAAAAAAGCAATATTTACTATTTTTAAATATTTAATTTGGTGCGCTATAAATAAACATTTTAATCATAATAAATTTTTAATGGTATAAAAATAAAAAAAAAATTGCTAAAAAAAATTTCAAAATCCCTATAAATTTTTATTTTTAAATTGAAACAAATAAATCTGAAATCTATCAAAATTTCAACATCCATAACAATAAAAATGCTAATCTTTCTAACCTTGACCTTTCTCCATTTCAATCTATCTCCATTTCTAATTTGCATCATTTTTGCACTAAAAAAACAGCAACTTTTTCCACTCCATATACACACTTGTATATTTCAATATTTTTATTGCATAATTTTTCTTTTTTTAAATTTAAACTGTTCGCTATTCGTTTAAATACAATCATATATTTACAAAAATAATGGAAAGTCAATAAATTTCCAAAATGACAAAAAAACAGAAAACAGTACAATAAATATAGCGCATCATAAAAAAATTAAACCAGAGATGATATTTTGTTTTTTTGTGGTAACATCAAGCCCCCAGTCCAAAACTGGTTCCGTAAAAATGAAAATAAAATAAAATTGACAGTTATAAGCAACAAAAAAAAATGTACACAACTTTTTTTTTATTTTGTTTACTTTTGTTTTTTGTTGTGTTATCAATATATCGCCCGAAATGGAATTCTTCTGCCAAAGAGTCAATTTACATATGATGACCGATAGTGTGGATGATACCATTTTGGATTTTATATGCAAAAATTTTAATATTAAAAAAAAAGTCGAAGTAGAGATGAAATTGAAAATTTAAAAAAAGCACATATTAGCTTTAATTAGGCATAATTTAAAACAGAATGTGTTGTGTACTTTTATTTTCGCCCATAGAATTTAGAACATGTTATACAGTGATAGGGCGTTTGTCCATTTGTATTCTTTGGCCATTTGTTTACATATTGTTAAACAAAGAATGACAAAATATTTAGTGTTTCCCTTGACATAACAAAAATATTTAAATATAGCCGTGCTATGTTCTGTTGTTAATCCACTAATGTGTACAAACATTTAGAACATTTGCTGTCAAAATTTTGACAATGTAATTCTAAATTATTTTGTTTTAAATTTGGTTTAATTTTTAGCTCACATTCTAAGCGACAACTGATGCTAAATTCTCGTGTACATTTTAGCTGTTGTGTTTAGAGCTTTTGCAGCGTTGTAAAAAATAAGGCTTAATTTGAGTAATTCACTCAACTGCTCCCTATAAATATATTATAAATACTCTCTATAAATATATACATATGTACATATGTAACTTTTGCTGCTCTCTATAATGATATTATTTGAAACTGTACAAGACTACGGGCCGCGAATATTGAAAATTAATTTACATTAATTCTAAACTTAGTAATTTTATAATTTATTATTACATAACTAAGAAATTTTATGACAAATAATATGAAAAATTAAAAATCTGACAATTGAACTGACAATTGAATTTGAAATTTATTTCATTGTTAGCATATTATTTCATGATATTGCGTATATGTACGTAAAAAAGAAATAAAAGTTGAGGAAAAAAAATTGCACTGAATTTTCTTTTATTTATCCTTTCCTTTTTTTCGGTTTTATTTTTTCGGATATGTGCCAAATATGAATTTGCACACAAAAAAAAATAAATTAATGGAAACCTTTTGTAAAAATATTTGTTAAGCTTTAAATTGATTCAAAAGAAAAAAAATGCAATGAAGGAATGCCAACAATAACAAAAAAAAGAAGGCAACACACATTTTTATTTTTATTATTTAATTTTTACACCTAATTTTTTTTCTTTATATGTTTTAAGCAAATTAAATTGTTAACAGAAAAATTATTGGATATTCACTATCAAAATATTTGCAATTTCCTGAAGAGAACCTAAAAAAAAATTTAATTTATATTTCTTAAATTTTTAAGACACTTCTTAGAAACTTGTATACTTTATGAAGACTGACTTAAGAAAAAGTTATAAAATTATTAAAAATTGATATTTATTGTTATTTGATACAAAACTAATTCCTTTCAATATTACTTTATATACTTAAGTGATACGTGATACGATAACGATATAATAAATTTTTTGACATTGATTGTTAGGTAAATGTGTAGTCAAAGGCACAAGATAAGGCTGTTTGAAAAAAATCAAAAAAAAACTTGTAATCTGAATTTTTGTCACTTTATTACCGTTCACTTTTTTACCAAAATTTTCGAGAACTTAATACTGTTGTTCATTTGTCAGAATGTACCGAACATAAACATCAAAATATGACCATAATATAAAAATTAATTTGACAGTTAACATGTCCTTTAAAAATGATATTTAATGTATTGTAAACTTCTGACAGATAGTTTTCATTTATAAATTTAGTTGAAATTAAATCTAAAAAAAATACCTTTAAAATATTTTTTACAAAATTCACTTTTCCTCAACTTTTATTAGCTTCAATTTTAAAAATTTGTTTTCCTATATAAATAAAATGTTGTAAAATTTAATAAAAATTTTTTTACTCAGTTTTAACAATTTCTTATCTCCATTGACCATTACCAAAAGAAAGAACATTTAATGTAATTAGGTTATAAATCTTAAAACATATTATTAAAACAAACAACCTGTGTGTTCATAAACGCAGGTAATAATTATCAAGTTTTTTTTTGTTTCAGTTTTACATTTACTTTTAACACTAATGACCTACATTTCATTTAAGAAACAAATTTCTTTCCTCTTACACTTATATATGTATTTATATTATGTGTATGTGTGTATCAAATATATGTAATATCGATCAAAAAATCTGCATCCTGATTTACCTTTCACCCATTTCTTTCACATACGTTTTATTAAAATGATAGCAATCAAGATTCAATTAAAGCTTGCATAAGGTGTACATAAAACAGCGATTAATTATAAGCGTACACTTTTATGGACAGTGTGAACATGCTACTTTTACGGATATTTATACTAAAAGTAATGATAAAATATCGTATAAGTATGGATAATTAGTTGTACATGTGCGATATTATAAATTAGAATAAAAATTAATGTTTCCGTTTTAATACATAAGTATATAGAATTTTAACGTTTATAAAATGATAAACTAAACATTTCTTTTAAAATGAATAAACCCCCTGTCAAATACATAACCTCTACAAAAAAAATATTTACTACCAGTTTCTTATTTAAAATAAAAATTTTACATTTTCATTAATTGCGTTACTTTTGAGCCAGTATCTTGTAAATGGAACATTGTTTTATTAATTTGGAAATCCAGGAACATACTAGAAATATAACTAACCGGTTACATAAAGTATTATATTTAGTTTATGGCTGTAGTATTGAATATTAAGGATTTGACTTTTATTATCCACATAAAACAATAAAGTCATCTACCGGAATGAATGTTAGTTACTATATACTTGCCGAATATTATATCCTTAAATGAAACGCAGAGGATATTATCATCTTCACAATCATTATCATCCAAGTAATCATAATCATCACAATATTTTAATAGCATCATATAACAACAACAACATTATTATAAGCTTTATAATTTTCGATACATTTTGAGTTAAATCGAAAATTGGTTTTAATTGCACTTACAAACCAAAAAAACAAAAATGTCATGGCTATAAACAAACCAGAGGAAAAATTAAAAATAAACACGAAAAGGCAATTCTTCGTTATTAATATTTTTATTACATGTTTTCTGTTTTTGGTAAAAATGGTCGAGATTGTAAGGCGCCTTTTCCATTTTCATTTCAGTAGCAATAAAATTTTTTTGCAATAATATAGTGGTTGCATTAAAAAATGACGCGCGCGCGAAAATTCGTAAAAATAAAGAAAAAACATAAGGCATAAAGATAAAAATCGAAAAATTTTTTAGTATAGAACAAGAATAATGAGAATATGTAGTATTGACCTGCACTCATGCAGCAATCGGCATACGTCTGCAGAAGTGAATTTTTCTATGAACCAAATAAGATATGAATGTCAGATGGATTTAAATAAATTTGGCTATAATAGCGTCTTGAATTTTACCGATGTATAGCTTGATTATTTTGTGGAATACGTAATTGAAATTTAATTCTACATTTTATGATACATACATACATAATGATATGTGACTACGAAAAAAATTTTTGAAATTAGTTGTCGCATTACTCACTTACTTTGGGCAACACTATAGCTTTATTAATCAATTAAGGCGACTTAGAATTGAATGCTGAACAAAAATAAGCCATTATTATATCAATATTTTTTAAATTAATTTGAATGACTACGAAACAACTCGAAACAGAATGGTAAATTTATAACATCATACGTCATACGATAAAACAGTAACCACATCTTTAATATTTGTTTGCAGCTACTGATTAGTCAAATAAATTTCATAAGAACCCTTTTTATAACATAAAATTAAATGAAAATTTATATATATGTATATATGAATGTGTGCAGTATGGAACATATACACGCGTATTTGAACATACGCTATACATACTTGCAAATTCTGTCTTTTCATTTTTGGATGCTTATCACTCGTATTTTAATTAATTAGTTTATGCAAAAAAAAAGAAAAAAAGGTTTAAATTTTAATGTGGTGTTAATATAGTTTTACTTTTATTTTTTGATTTCAATATGTAACTAGGCTCCAAAAATAACATTATGTAGAAACAAACCCATATTGTGCTAATTTTTGTTCCGCAGTCCGTTTCTGTTACTATATTCAAAAACAGTCTGTTTAAGTTTATAAGTACAAAAGTAATTCCACAAATAGGTTTTTCTATGGGCCTATTTGCCAATAAAATGAAATAGAATAAGGTTTTTAGTTCTATCCCTGTGTAATTCTAAGTATTTCAAATCTGAATTAGAGAAGCCTGCAAACACAAAGTTAGCCCGCTTTTTGTCTTAATGTTACATAAATTTAATAACGACAATTTCTTCTTTGTTAACCCAACTTACAGCTTCTATAAATAATTTTATTAAAATCTTAATAATTTTAAATTACTCTTATATAAAAATGAGAAAGATATAACAATAAACTTTATAATAATTGTCATCATTTCTTTAAAAAAAAGAGAGAAAAAAAATCCGAAAGTTATCAGTTGATTTTTGATAATAAAATTTTTTATTTTTTTGTTTATCATCTCATCCCTTCTCACTCTTTATTCATGATTTTTAATTTTCTTTTACGCTTCATCTGTTTTATTACAACCTTTATGCATCCACCTATACTTATGAAATTTTATAGAAAAGAAGAAAAAAATTTAATAATTTTAAAATTTTTGCTTTGAATGTTTTATATATATATTTTTTTTAATTTTGATGGTATAAAAGTGAATGCATTTTTGAAATCAACTTTTTTATATTTTAAAATTTTCCGGTGGAATGTATACCGTTAAAAAAACGTTAAAATTTAATTCGTGTTGGAAATATAAAAGAACATTTTTTTTTTTATAAAAATTTAAAAATTTTTATTTATTTTTATGTTAATATTTTTTATATTTTTAATTATTATTTCATATGTAAAAAATTATTCTGTTTACAAAAATAAATATGAAATTTGGACATTTTAAAAACAAGATTAATTTAAACATGTGCACATAAACAACTTTTAACACTAATGCAGATTACATTTAAAGCAAAATAACGGTAAACAACACGTATAACACATTACAATTACAACTGTTCATTATAATAATAATCGTTAAGCGCATATAACAATAGAAAAATGATTTCTCATTAAAATAATTAATGAAAATTTTTTTATTTTTAACATTAAGTTTAATTTTACTGTTATGCAAACACGAGGAATTAATAAAAAATTCAACAGAGTAATTAAACAAAGTCAACTCATCTTAGAAAATACAGTGTTATACTAATGAAAATCGTTAAAATATTAAAAACAAAAATTATAAACGTAATTTGTTATATTTATTTAAACCGATTCAATAAAAAATTAAAAAAATATTAAAATAATTTTCAAAAATTTTAATTTAGAAATAAATAAAAAAGAGACTAAACTTGTGACATTTATGAAAAATTTATGACAATAATATACCTACCTACCATAAATTTTATGACAATATACCATAAAAAGCTGTTTATTATTTATTTCTTATTTATTGTATTATTTGTTTTTTAAAGTTTATGGTAAGTTTTTTAAAAACGATAAGTTAGAAATATATGTAACTCAAAAAATACAAATATTGTTTATGAAATTAAGAAAATGTTACAAATTAAATAGTTATAAAATATAATATGTATTTCGGATTATACACAATAGTTTTGTTATAGTAGAAAGTAGAGATTTACTTTAATTTTTTGTATTTTTTTTATTATAATAACTGAAAAGTTTAATACTCTTGCGTATGCAGAAGCTACAAGTGACGAAATATATGTCAAAAGTGACAACGTAATATCAGTGCGATTTAATTTCATACGATTAATAATATCTTTTGTGAATTGTAATAGAAATAGAAATGGTTTAGCAATTATATCGTTTATATGGTGGATCTAGTACTTTACTTGAAATTTCAATCTGCGTATATACTGTACAGATTAAGGGCCTGATCATCTGTCTCGCAATTTTACTCGGCAAGTGAGAAGAAAGTGAGTAACTATCATATATTTGTATAATGCAAATTTCGAGTGAAAATTCGGTATTACGTATCTCGCTTCTATATTTCAAAAGACAAAAATTCAATTGAAAAAAGAAATATACATTAGAAAAACAGAGAATTCTAAATTGTGAGTGAAGAAAAAATGGGAAGAAAGTGGAGATACACGATTAGACTGTAAATAATATTATTTACCTGAAATCGACTTGATTTAATGTTAACTGATAAGTATTATACATTAATTTGTCATTTTCAAACTTTCTATGTAGACCGACTTGATTTGAATATTTGTAGTCGAGTAGCGGTTATCTCAATTCGAAATCTGCTCAAAGTCGGCTTCAAGCTGCGTAATAAAAGCAGTAAATGAGAACTTCAAAGATCTAATGGATGAACGTTATTTTGATTCTTCACTTTTTTTTCTTCCCATAGACGACGAAAAACCTTCGATCCTTCACACGTCCACTCATGGGATCTTTTGTTATTCCCATCTCCACCTAGCAGTATAGCAGCCACTTCAAGCTGCGAGATTTTCATCGGAGTCACAAAGTCCCTTCCTAAATGCCGTAGTCGTATAAGCCATTTATCGCCTCGCAATCACACAGATAGTGCTCCACCGTTTACGGGCGCAAACTAGGCAGGGACGATTGATCAAACAATCATTCTAACAGTCAAAACCAAGTAATCAAGCAGTCGCTGACTATTCACTTCTTTAAATTTTTATTTACTTCAAATACTAACTGCTGCAACAATTTTTATTTTAAAGCCAAATAGTACAAATTTTGGAAATAACAAACAATTCAACTTACAAAATTATAATTGCTGAATGGTTCAATAATACAGTATCCATGGCTTACACTCTATAAAAAGAACGTTTTCGCTGCATTGTTTCATGTTCTATATTGTATCTCAAAAGGTTTCGACGAGTTAGAAAGTTCTAAATTGTTTAGAAACTGTGTTGAATACGCCGAAAAAGCAAATTTTTTTTTTCAATAAAAATTTTTTTAATTTCAGGTAACTTTACAAAAATATAAAATTATGTATAAGAAATTAATTAATTATAATTTTCCGATGCTTTTTATAAAATTTTGAATGTAAAATTTATTAAAATCTTCCTACTAAAAGCTCAAGTTTAAAGGCGGTTCGAAAACGGTTTAATGACAGCTTTTTTATGGAAGACATTTTATTTTATATACATATTATTTATACATTTAAAATTTTTAGAAATTTTTAATTGAAATTAAAAATTGTACGTAACTTATATTATGCATAACTTTTGTTATATTTTTATCCTATTATTCCTACATTCCTTACATAAAGTTCAATTTTTTCTTTCTCTCTCTTTCTATTCAAATGAACTTTTACTTTTTTTTTCAAATCCTCAGAAACATTACATTTATATAACACATATGTACATTATACTCAGTGGATAACTCATATTTTCGGGTTATTCGTCGCGATTCTAGATTTTAATTAAAAAAGTTTACCATTTTCAAGAAGATTATATCATGCAAAATGGTTTTAACAAAGAAAAATATTAATCAAAAAGTGAAGTCACATTCATTTTAGTTTTTTCCCTTAAAAAAAAGAAACAATTTTTATAGTCATGCTTAATCAAAACTTGTATGGGCTTCATATTTTATATATAATAGAGTAATAGAGCAACATCATCAAAATTATTATAAAATTACATAAATCTTATAACAGTTTAATTTAAATAAATTTTCACACTTTTTAATCAACATAATAAACTATAATCAATAAACTCAACCATGTGATGTAATAATGAGCACATTTAATGAGTATGCTCATTACTTAATCTCTTTATATAATTAGATGTTTGCCCACCCATACATAAATGAAATCTATATATTATGATATAATAATCATAATTATTAATAATAAATAACAAAATAAAGAAAATTCAGTGGATAATTTAAAATTTTCTTTTGAAAATGAAGATGATGTTAAATTTGAGGATGGTATTTTTGCTTGAACGCGGATTTGCCTGATCGATTACTAACGGGTTGTCCGTTAATCCACGTAAATCAAATGCTTTATTAAGACCCGCTTCACACACCAATCCGTATTGGAGAATTATGTCTTTCCTTCGAAAAACCAGTAAAAAATTTGGATATGATTTTTAATGATACGTTGGATGATCAATTTTGTCTAAATATACAATTTCCGGGACAGAGTTGAAGTCTTGTCTTCTATTCCATAGTGATATTTTGATATGTTTTGATTTTCAACCGTTATTCTTTTGTGTAAAAATAATGAAAACTCACTTCCCCAGTTACTTATACGACAACTTCAGATTTTTTAAATCAAGAAAGACGAAATGCGTTGTTTTTCCCAGAAATAATTACCTTTCCACGCATCCAGTAAGACTCTTAAATATTTTGCCGGCTCCAATCCGCGGTTTTTTTGGATTCCACCTCTGTTAGCGAAATGTCCAGTCCTTTCTTTTGGTATGTCCAGTTAGCATAATGTATTCGGTGTCTTTATTTTTAATTTTTTTTATTTTTCTTGCTCATAACATGCGATTAATGTTAGTGTGATAAGTTTGAATGAGTTAAGATGATAACTAGTGCTGTATACTGCAGATACGATTGAGTTGGTCCAAATGAATGAAAAATTATTTTAAATATTTTTACTACTGTTATATCGAAATTATTGCTTATTGCAATTGCTGCCCCTGAATATTTTAAATTTTCCGATTCTTGTTAAGTATAAAAGCCTTGTTTTTGCTTACTCGGTTTAATTCCTCATTTACTGCAGGTGGCGTTTGCTTTTCCTCTAGTAGATTATTGACATTCCATGCATTTAGGATATTATTCGTTTTATTTATCACTACAAAGTTTAGAAATATTAAATTAATTAAAAAATTCCATATGAATACTTAGATACATACATCTATATATGTATATAATAATTAATTAAATTTCTTGTTTTTTTTTTTTTTGTTAATATTTTTAGTACACCTGTATGAAAAATTATGCAGCTATCTCATACTAATATAATATTATTTCAAATCTTCATGTCAACTTTACAATTTCGGATGATTTTAGGCAGTTCTTTCGAATTTCCTAATTTTGAGACACAATCGTCTCAAATACTTCGTTCATTATTTAAAATAAAATCAAAAAATCCATCTCCAATTAATCCAAAAATAAATTTTTTCGATATAGTTGATCAAAATTTCCAATCAATAGATGATACAAATTCGTTTCATTCACTTAGTAATCTTGATGGTTTACAATGTGGAATTCGGGAAATAAATTATGTACCTCCAAGACAATTTCGTTCTAGTAGAATTATAGGTGGCCATGAAGTTCCTTATGGTGCTTTCCCTTGGCAAGTAGATATACAAATTTATAATTATCGAGCAAGAAGATTTCAACATCATTGCGGTGGCGCTTTAATCGATGATCAAATTGTTATAACTGCTGCCCATTGTCTTCAAGTTCCGAAAATACAATATTTAAGAATTGTTTTCGGAAATCATTTTTTGATGCAACGAAATCTTTTTGAACATGGTTATCGGGTCGAAGATATAATCATTCATCCAAATTACAGAAAAGGTAATTCTTTAATAGTGTATTTTTTATAAAAAAAAAATAATTTACTTTCATTTAAAATATAAGATGGACCATATAGTAATGATATTGGACTACTACGTATTAGAACTCCTCATTCAATTGGGATTGGTTTTAATTCACATATAAGATCAGTTTGTTTACCAGATGTCAATAATTCACCAAAAGTAGGTTCTTGGTGTACAGTAACTGGATGGGGAGCTTATAATGGTAATACATAAAAATTAAAAATTTTTTAATTTACTCACGCATAAAATATGTACATATGTATATTATTTTATTATTTTGCAATTACTTCCAAGATAAATAATATTATGTATAAAACAAATATCCGTAAAACAAAATTTCATATTTTGGAAAGAAAATCAACTATATAAACAAAATTAATGTTATACGTGGCTATATGTTTAAGGTGTTAAAAAAATTGGAAATTGTTTGATTCTAAAAACATATAAAAATAATTATTAACTAATATAAAATATTTTATACATCTTCTTACATTTTTAGCTGATAATTTACAAGAAATCGCCAGTTCTTTACGTGCGGCATCAGTTCCGATTTTGGATTTGGACATATGTAAACAAAAAACAGTAAATGGAAATCGTGCTCAAAAAGTTTTAGATTCTATGTTATGCGCTGGATTCATACAGGGAGGCGTAGATGCTTGCTCTGGAGATAGTGGTGGTCCCTTAACCTGTGAAGTAAATGGAAAATTTGTTATAAGTGGAATAGTATCATGGGGAGATGGCTGTGCGAGAAAAAACCGTCCTGGAATTTATACTAAAGTAGATGCTTACACGAATTGGATCAGAGAAACAATTGAAAAATTAAAAATTTAAAACGATTTTTATGGTATAAACAAGCGCCAATTTAGAATAAACAAATTCAAAAATAGGTTTCTAAAATTAAAAAGACTGTTAGTTTTTAGTAAAAATAAAATAAAAAAACAATTTTTATTTTTTTAAATTTATACAGTATGCAATCTAATCCTGATTATTGTATATGCTTAAAAATATATCAATTTCACCGTTTTGTTACTATTGCATTATTAATACTTATTAATAATTTTAATTAAAAGCCAAAAATAATAAAAATATTCAAACTGGTGAATTTCAATACAACCAAGTGTGTATACGTTTTACGTTCTCATCAATACATACCACTTGCTTATTAAAAAATATTCATGTGGAAAATTACAAAAACTTTATCATAGACACGAATTATTTGTATAAATTGGTTTATGTTTACAATAGTAATATAAAACTTTGTACGATCAATTATTGATTTGACATTCAAAATGCCTTCAGAGTAATGCAATTTTGAATTTTTCTAACCACAGATAACTACATTACCTGTGCGACTATTGCCGTCGAGCGGCTAGTGTATTGTGTATCTATTTCTATCTAGTCCTTAGATGACTCAAACGTCAATACAAAATCTATACATAATGATACTAAAATGACAAAGAGTTTTTGACAAATTTTTCAAAAGTCAACAATTGACAACCTCAGTATTTTTTACATTCGAATCTTGTACTTTTATTTTGTTTTAATTTATTTGTGATTTGAAATCTGAATTGGAAAAACTAAGGAAACATGGACGAAGAAAACTCTGACGATGGCCTTTTGATAGAAGAAAATTATTACAGTTTTTTAAACGTAGCAAGAGATGTAAGTTCTTCTTAATATGATGAAATTAGGAATTAAGGTCGAACTGTATAAATAGTATGTGACATAACCTCTTGAATTATATCTATTAACCTTTAAAAATAGTTAAAATTTGTGTTATAACTTATAACAAATTAAGTAACCACTAAGCTTATTTAAATTTTTAGGCTACTATTGAAGATATAAATGCATCATACAGAAATCTAAGTCGGATTTACCATCCAGATAAACATATGAGTGCAGAAAGTAAACAGAAAGCCGAATTGTTGTTTAATAGAACGAAAACAGCATATGAAGTTTTATCTGATCCACATAAGCGCGCGATATATGATTCATTAGGTATTCGAGGACTTCAAACAGAGGGATGGGAAATAGTTCATAAACAACGAACTCCAGCTGAAATTAGGGAAGAATATGAAAGATTAGCTAGAGAAAGGGAGGAAAGAAAGCTTCAACAACGTACGAACCCTAAAGGGAATTTAACTGTTAATATAAATGCCACTGATGTTTTCAGCTATTATGATGAATTTGAGTAATTTTGATTTATTTTATTGAAATTTTAAATATTTTTGTTGAATTTATAGTGAACCTGGAGGTTTTCCAATTATTGAAGTGTCCGGAATGAGTATTTCTCAATCAATTGAAGCACCTATAACATTACGCGACACTGTTATTATGTCTGGCAGTTTACAATCATCTAATGGAAATGGTTCTGGCGGTTTTGTCATATCAGGTAGACGATTAATTAACAAAGGATGGCTCGAAATGGACGTTGGAGCTGGGAATGGCCCTATTATAGGTTTCAAAGGTTCTAGAAATCTAACTCAAAAAGTTTATTTAAATGGTGGTGCTACGCTGAATTTTAGGCGAAATGGCATAATACCTGGCCTGGTCGGAACTTTAGCAGTACAACTAGACAAACATACTGTTGGTTATTTGACTTATAATGCTGGGCAAACTTCTATGTCAACTGTTATTGAACATAATGATGAAAAAAATGCATGGAATACATCAATTGTAATAGGTATACCGCATTGCTATATAACTGCAAGTTACACAAGAAAACTTTTAGAGAGTGAGTTAAAACTAAAGCTTGCAGGAAGGTAAAATTTTTTTTTTCAAAAATTCGTTATCTCTTATATTTTGATTTTTCGTAGAGTTGGAACCTTTGGTTATTATGCGGAATATGGTGCTGAAAAGAAAGTGTCGAAATATAGCTCAGTTTTAGCATCAGTTTCTATTGGAGTACCAACTGGTGTAACCTTAAAACTGAAGTAACTAACATTTTTTTCAAAAAAAAAAAATAAATATAACAAAAAAGATAATGGATACCTTCCCCTTTTCAGAATCATAAGATCATCACAAACGTACACATTTCCAATTCACTTAAGCGAAGAAATAGTTCCAGCTGCCGTTTTTTATGCAACTGTAACACCATTAATTGCTTGGTTTGTTCTAAAAAAAACTATTATTGAACCAATGAATGCGGCACAAAAAAAAATTGAAATTGACAAAGCGAAAGAAACAAACAGACAAAGATTGGCCGAAAAAAAGAAGGAGGCTGAAGCAGCTGTCGATTTAATGAAAGCTCAATGTGAAAGAATAATTACTGATGAAGCTAAAAAAAGTGGCCTTTTAATAGTTAGCGCCATTTATGGAAAACTAAATATTGATTCAGATTCTAGCCAAGAAAGTGAAATTATTCTTGATGTAACAATTCCCGTACAATGTTTAGTTAGAGATAGTAAATTAATTTTATATAGTGCAAGCAAAGTAATTGTCCTATAATTTTTCAATAACAATATAATGTAATATCCTGCATACATTTTCAGAGTGAACTGCCTGGATTTTATGATCCTTGTGTTGGTGAAGAAAAACACTTAAAAATAGAGTATTCTTACCGTGAAGTAGTCCAAACAATTATTATTGCTGATAATGAACCCTTACGTTTACCACGATTAGTAAGCAGTAACACTAATAGTAGTTCAACAATATCGCCAACAAGAGCAAATGCTAATAACAACCAGAATACATAAATATAGTTTAAATATAATATAGAGAAATAGAAAATTAGAAGAAAACTCAAAGAGAAGAAAAATAAACTGTTAATTCATTCATATTGTTTTTAGAATTTTTCAATTTTAGTATGTAGTAGACAAACAATTTGGAACTAAAAATGATATAAAAAATTGTAAAAATGCTTTAAAAACAAAAATTTTTATTTTTATTTTGAAATCTACATATATATACATATATAGGAACTTTGACTGATAATGAAAACGAAAGTAGACTCGCCTAATGCTGATATTGGTTTCACTGTGATACAGATAGAAGCAAAGCTTTTTGGCTGAACTCAAAGTTCAATTTTAATTAATTTATGATTAAACAATTCATTAAATAAAAATAAACGAAGATGTATGTAAATTTCAAAATTTGAAGAGCGATGCAGAGTAATAGTCCAATCATAAAAGTATATCACCATTTGCAACAACGGTCTTGCTTTTCTTTAGTTTAATTACTAACTTAAATATCTTTACTATTGACTGGATACCTGCATATACATATGTATATACATTTTCTTCTCTTATTAATAAAGTTTATTCAACTATTTATACATAACCAATCTAGTGCTATGTTTGAGCTGTCCATTTGGTTTATTTATCAATGACAATGACACTAATTAAACCACAGGACCTGTGTTAAAACCACGGCTGACAGAGTTTCAAAAAAGTTTGCTGAAATCCGTAAACAATAGTTAGACGTTTCAAGTTGGATATGGCAACGCCACTCAAAAACTTTTAGCTTCAATTAACATATGAAATTAGCATCAAAATATTTGGCGTATTAATTTTGTGGTTGTAGCCGACAAAAAAAATAAGCCGACATGAATTGTTGTTGCAGCCGATATGAATCGTTTCACTTGTCAATGAAATCAACAAAATAACGTGCTTATTTCTCAATGCTTGTTTTCTATAATTGCATATTTAAGAAGAATTTTCGTACAAATATATTTTAACAATTTGTATCGTGTGTAAAATTTATAATAATACAATAAAATGATGTCTACAAATACTATTAGTGAATATTCTTCAGATGGAAAATTATTCGCTTTAATTAATGAGCATGGGATTCTCAAAATTTGGGATACAGAAACTAATGTTCTAAAGCAAGAATATGCACCAAACTTTCATCTATCAGGACCTTCTACATGCTTAAAGTGGCTTAGTATAAGTCAAAATGTAAAAACTAAGAAATCCAAAAAGCTGAAGACTACAGCAAATGAAAATCTTGAAAAATCTGATGAGTCGTTATATATTGCTTTCGGTACAATTAATGGAGGTGTTGTATTATATTCGTATTCCTTAGGAGAAGTAATTATTTTAATATTATTAAATACATAGTTTTAGTTTTATTTCTTAACTTACACAGGTAGAACGCTCTTTAATAGGTGAAGGACACACTGGAAAAGTAACATGTATAGCATTTGATAATCACGACATATTATATACTGGTGGTGAAGATTGCCATATAATTTGTTGGAGTTTATCAAATGAAAAACGTATTGCATCCTGGAAAGTTGGTAATGAGAAATTAAATAGTTTAGCATACCTATCAGAATCGAAGAACATCGTAATTGGAACCAGGCAATTAAAAATATTTTCTCCTGAAAAACAAGAAATAATTTACACGCATATTGGTCACACATCTGACATTCTTTTATTAGAAACATTTACTTACGGACTTACAGATTTTTGCTTGAGTGCCGCAAAAACCGAGAGAATTATAAATTTATGGACCTTGAAATCAAAAAATAAGTATCGTAACTCTACTGCAACTCTTTTAATGGAAGATATTGCATATTGTTTAAGCTATAAGTTTGAAAACGAACAAACATTAAAAGTTTCTGTTGTAACAAGAAGCGGTGTTATCCACATTTATTGTATAGACATGGAAAAGTAAGTTTCAAATAATTTTCTGGAAATTCAATTATTAAAATTTTCATATAATTTAGTTTAAAACCCGATAAGCCAATTAAACCAAGTACTACTATACAAATAGCCTCTGACAGTCAAACGAATATCGAACCAATAATGGCTATTACTGCTTCATTAAAATTTGGAAGTAAGAAAAAGGAGTTACTTTTTGGTTATGGAGATAAACAATTTTTGCAATTCGAGAAGATAGTAACGGAAATTAATGATATTATACTAAAAGCAATAATCTACAATTCTAATAATGTTTTTTAGACCATAAATTTCGCAGAACATATACAAGTCCTAATTAGATCCCAACCTAAAAAGCCATCCAAAACCAACAAACAAGCAACTGAAGCAGTTTCTAAAACAGTTATTCCGAAAGTTGGTACAGCATCTTATCAAACTGCATCTACACCCATTATCAGGAAAAAAAGGGATGATGTTCAAATACCTTTAGAAACACGTTTACAAAATCTGCATGTAACAAATGGTGAAATGCCAAATGCTCAAAGTAAAGTTCAATTGTTAATCCAAGCTCTTCATAGTAAAGACTCGAAGTACATATGATATTCACTTGGTATCACTTGGTATAAGTTAATTACCACTCATTTTTCATTTCAGTTTGTTATACTCCGTTCTTTCTACAGAAGATCAGAAAGTCATTAATTTAACATTACAGAAACTTCCAGTACAATATGTATCATCATTAGTTAACGAATTAACTCTTTTAATGGAAAAGAAACATGTCAAGTACAAATTTAAAAATAACCTTTAAAATATATTTTAAGCTAAACCCGTTTATATTTTTCCAGCGTCCAAATATCATCAAATTGGTTGAAAGCATTAATTAAAATTCACTCGAGTCAGTTAATGGCTCTTGGATCAGAAGACTTGTTGGCAAAATTTGGACCATGCATTGGAATCATTGAACATAGAGCAAGTTGCTTAAACGATCTTTCGAAGTATTTTTCTTTCATTAACAAAGTTATAATTTATTAATAAAATTTTACGTATCCAGATTAAATGGAAGATTGCAATTGTTGGTAAGCCAGATTAAACGTAATGTTGAAGAGGATGTACTAACAAACGAAAATTGCTTAGTTTATGAAGATGGTAAGCTTTCAAACCCATCTACATATTTTATATTCATTTTCATAATTAATTTTATTAGAATCAGATGAAAGTTTAGACTTAGAAAATAATATTCCCGACAATAATACATCCCTCTCAGATGATGGTGATTGGGAGGCAAATGAAAATGATCAAATGCATCAAAGCGAAAATGAGCAAGACGATAATGAAGATGAAGATATGAGCAGTAGCTAAAAAAAACTCCGACATAAATGCAAATTAGAAAACTTTTTCAAATTTATTTTTTTAAGTATATATGTATGTATGTAGAATTTAAAAAAAAACCAATAATAATACAATTACGGAATGACTTCAAAAAAAAGATTTATGAATTTTCAAGTAGGTTTATATAGAAATTTACATTTCAGTTGCCAATTTTACTTGTCTGACAACGCTTTTTCCCTCTGCATTCCTTGAAACTTTATGATAATTTCGAATTTTACCTAAAGCTGATATAAACTCTTCATCATGTGTAATTATAATAAGCATAAAATTGCATTGACTTTGACGATCTTCTATGATACGACTTAATGTTTCACATAAAGAAATTATATTATTACGATCTAGATTGGTGGTTGGTTCATCCAATGCTAAAACGCCACAATTTGAACTAAATGTTTCAGCTAATGCCATACGAATTATTAATGAGGCTAAAACTCTTTGTCCAGCGCTACAGCGGCCACGCATTTCTAATTTAGTGTTGTTCTTGCTTTGCACAACGCTGTAATTAAATGTACGCCTTTTAGCCGCTGATGATTTTGTATCTTCGCTTTCAGTTTTTATTTCAATATAATCTATATCATTTCCACGATATATCTGACGCCAAAATTCACGTATAAGACGGTTGATTTTTTGCATTTTTTCTTTATGATATTGGCTTAATGCTCTATCTAAAGCAAAATGATATTCGTTTAAATCATGAACTACTTGTTCCAATATTTCAACTTCATAAAATAATCTTCGATAATTTTTTAATGCATCTTTAAACTTCGGATCTTTTAATTCAGCATCAAGTTTTTTGATTTGACTCTCAATTTCGCCGATTTGCCCTCGTAATTGTCCACGTTTTGTCACTATTGCGTCTCTTTTTTTTATTAGTTCAGCACGTTCTTTTGATGCAGTGTCCATACTCAAATCACCCATTTGTTTTAAAACAGCTTCCAATTGATCTTTCAGTCGAATATTTTTCTTCTGCAAAACTTTCAATTCTCGATTGTCTTTTAGGTCTCTTTCCGCTAATTCTTGATTTGATATTATGGACTTAAGATTTTCAATTTTTTCTGTTGCTTGAGTATTCTCTTTTCCCTATAACAAAGATGAAAACAATATAAGAAAAATAAAAATGTTGGCGTTTTAAAAAAAAATTTTATTAATATTACATTTTCGGCTTGTTCGTTCATATTACGTCTAAATAATTCCTTCAAATTTTCTATTTCTTCCTCTAAATTTTCTTCCGCCAAATTTTTCAGTTCCTTATTCAGACTTTTTAAAAAAAAATAATTAATGAGTATCATTAACGACTAGTTAAGTCATACCTTTCAACTTCGTGATTAATTTTTTTCAAACCATCTAGTTTGCTCTTAGATTTATTCAATATAGTACGATTTTCAGTTTTTAAGTTTTCTTTTTCCTTAATTAAATTATCAAGTTTTGACTTCAAGGGGTTCAATTCTTCTTCCAAAGTTTCTATTTCCTTAGAAAGTAAATCTAAATTTTTAGAAATTTCATCGTAACGAGATTTGAGTTGAGGTAATGCTTGTATTCCTTCTTGTAATTTGATTTGATTATCTTTTAATCTATAATTGAAAAGTGGTTACAAAACATCTAGTAAAAATATAATATGTAAAGGATATGTAAACTTCCACATGAACAAAAATTAAAGAAAAGTTTTATAATATAGGTGTGAACGCTCTAATCTAAAATCTACTGATAAGAGACAAAAATTAAAACTGGTCTTTTATGCTAATGCAATCAAGTTCCAGAAAAATTACATTTAACTTAATATTCGACCATAAAAATTTTGTATGAGAGTTTACATACAGATTTTTACACTATATTTTGTTAATAAATTAGTAAATTACGCCAATTTTGTTTCTTTTAATCTTGTTATATCACTTTTTTGTGTACGATAATCATTTTCCAATTTTTCTAATTCTTTTCTGTTTGTGTCTAGCTCCGTAGATACTGTATCCTTTTCAGTTTGAATATCATCGATATTTAAATTTTCTGCTTCTTTTGGTAATTTTTCCTAAAAAATAAAATTTTTTATAACCTGTATCAATAAGAGCGAAAACAAATAAAATAACCTTTAAACTTTGCAAGTCATCCTTAATTCTAGAAGCATCTTTCAATGCTTCATCTAGCAAAGCCATATCGCCTAACATTGAATTAACCAAATCTAAATTAGAAGATGGTTCAGCAATTAACAACTGACATGATTCAATATCTTTCGATAGCTCAGATAATTGATCTTCTAACTTCTTCAAATCCTCTTTTCTTTTTGGTATATCCTCTTCAAGTTTTGTGTTTTTGTCGATAATAGACCTTAATCCCATTAAAGACTCGTAATTGTGTTGCTCCTTTTTTAAGGATTGCTCTGTTTTTTTAATATTGGCAGGAACTCTGCGTATTTCTTCTGCCATCTCAGCAGTTAAATCGGTTGCCTATAAAAATCTGTAATTATTACCAATAAAAATACAATGCCAAATATGTTTTTACCTCATCATTTGATAAATTTTTATGACATAATGGGCAACATGGATCGTCATTAATATTTTTCATATATCTAAAATATAGAATCATATATTATCTTCTAAATAATAAACTTTTAATTTTTTTTCCTTTACTTTTTAAACATTGATTCTGAAGATTTCAAGGCGCCGAGCTCCAATTGATATTTTTCCACATTTTCTTTGGAACGTTGCAATATCTCCTCATATGGAGTACCATGACATTTGTCAAATATTTTATCAGAATTTTGTTGATGATCGTTTTCCCATTTGGACAATTCTTCTCTTTTATTTTTGCGCTCTACTTCTAAACTGTTCAATTTCAACCGATTTTCATTTTCTTTTTCTTGTAAATCTTTAATTTGTTTTTGGATTTCTTCATTAATATTTTGAAATTGTTTTTTGTAATTTGATTCAATTTCTTTATCAGGAAATATAGTTTTAATATTACTTCCGTGTTTGTTTTTCACTTTTCGAATTTCCTGTTCTTTTTTTTCAAGTTGTTGCTCTTTTAAATTAACCTCAATCACTTTCTTGGAAATTGAGTTTAAGAACGTCAATTTTTTATCCAACTCGCGATATTGCTCTTCTTTTGTTTTAATATCAGATTTTTTATCGTTTATTTCACGTTCCTTATCTTCAAAATTTACCTTTTCCTCAAAAGTTTTTAATAATTTGTCAGCCTTTTCTACCTCGGCAGTTATAGATGCCAACTTTTTAGCGCTTGCTTCGTTTTGGTTTATTTCGTCTTCGACTTTTTTTAAATCTTGTTGCAGTTTTGATTTTTGTCCCCGCTTAGATTGTATGTCACTTTCAATTGTAACTTTATTTTCCCGACATTTATCAATTTCAGTTTGTTTTTCATTTTCAGTTTTGTCGTGCTTTTCGGATAATTCCGAGATCTTTTTATCTTCCAATACAAAAGCTTTACCAATTTGCTCATAAATATTTAAAACTTCGTCTTCCTTAGCATTTTCAATATCGATGGATACGGGTATTTCTAGTTTTTCACAAAGATCAGAAATTTTTTTTGCTCTTTTACCCACATATTCCTGTTCTAATTGACGTTTACTTAACAGAGTAGAACGTTTGTGCTCCAAGTCAGTTAAACTAGATCGAAGTTTCCGTTCTTGGTTTTTAATACGATTAAGCAAATCTTCCAAGCTTTTCAATTCTGATTTTTTTTCTTCCATGTTTTCGTGAAAATTACGAATTTCTATGTCTATTTGATCAACACTGCCATCAAATTCTTTTTTGATTTTTGACGTAAGAGATTTAATATGCTCTTCGCAACTTTTTATACTGAAAGATCAAATTAAAATTAGATAGAATAACGAAACATACAATGAAATTTACTCTGCTTTTAATTTGATTCTCTCTCCATTATAACTTCCTATTTCTATTTCTATTTTCTGAACAGCTTTTATTCGTTCTTCAACTGGTATCAGATCATTATCAAATTGGTCACTTTGTTTCAGCAAATCTTCTTTTTTTTGTCTTGAATTAGCCAAATCTAAATTTTTAGTATCTGCCTCCTTTTTTCTGACTTCAGCATATCTTAAATCATTCCCTGTAATATAGACATATGATTATAAAATAAACAAATACGTATATGTTTATATATAACTTATGATAAAAAATATATTATCTAATTTCAAATGTTCACTAATCACTATTTCAATACTAACGCTTTAATTTCAGCGAATCTTGTTGTAGTTTCTTTATTTTAATCATTTTTTCTATAGCTTTGTCATAATTACTGGTACCAAAAATTGCGTCAAATTTTTCTTTTAATTTTTTAGGCTCATCTAAAGGCCAGCAGGCGTTCTCTTGATGGCAAAATATAACGTTGTTTATTATAGCTTTTGAAACTCCTGAAAATAAAATTTTTAAAATATTATTCATTTTATAATCTATATTTTAACTACAAACCCATAAACCGTTCTAACTCATTATCAACATCAATTGCTCTTTTACTTATGCTTTGACCTTCATTATTACCGTAGGTAATTGTAGAATCCAAAGCCATAAAATTTGGACCAGCACGCCCACGTTTCTGAGTTATCTTAACTGCCCTGGTTACCGTGAGAGTTTGTCCACGAATATTTTTGACCTATATGATTTTATATACATAAGTGAGGGTAACGTTATATAGTTTTTTTCAAATATATATAAATAAAAGTCACTTTGTATTCAAATGTGAAAAAGAATTTTAAACTGTTCCCAAGTTACATCACTTCTTCAACCGAAAAATTAAAAATCCCTAGATTTTACATATCATTTACCTGTAACTTTACTTGCCCAATACATTCCATTGCATCAAAAATTTTGGGATCATGAACAAAACTTTTGCCATGATCACTGCCGGGTGGTAATTCTCCTGTTAATGCATATTTCAAACATTCTATTACAGTTGTTTTGCCACAACCATTAGCTCCAAGAATTAAGGTTACCGGAGAAGAAAATGTTATACTCTACAATAAAAAACTTTACCAATTAGGGAACCGTAAATTAGTCAATTTTTACCTGTTTATCTTCAGCTTTCGTTCCAAAACTCCTTATTCCTTGTATCGTTAACTGCACAATAGATGACATATTTTTTTAACTTTTATTGCCGTAGCTTTTATTCCCAAGAACGCTTAAAAAAATTAAAATAAAATTTACAATTTTAAAGCAACTGACATTTGCGCGTCCCCTTGTTGAACAGTGTTAGTACCATAAAAAAAATACAATGAGTATCAATCAAACACAGCCTTAAAAAGAGCAGTCAAAAATTTGTTACATACTATGAATAATGAATATGAAAGAAGCAATAGGCACATGAAATATATGCAATCTTCAGAAAATTGGTGAGAGGATCACTTTCATTAAGACATATAATATTCTTTTAAAAATTATAGAAAAAATATTTATTTTTTAAATTTAAATATTTACTTTTGAAATTAATTATAGAGATTGGTGAATATGGTGAAAAAATTATTGCTTGTGATAAATCGCATTAGTAACTTATGCCGTCATTTTTACAAAAAATAGTTGCATACTTTTAGTTGCGTGTTTTTTTCATCGAAAATTATTTTCTAATTTTTTGAAAAGTTGTATAAATCTTAATGCTTTTATATTCATGTTCGAGACATGTACGTTAAAAACACGTTAAAAAAATCAAACTTGATGCTTAATATTTATTAACATTTACCTGAGATGTTTTTTAATTGTTCACTCGGAAAGAAACCTTGTAGATATGCACAGAAAATAATGTGACCAATAAAATGAATCAGTGCAAAAATGTATCAAAATGAAACACTTCTTCATATTAATTTCGCTTTTGCGGTTAAACCGATTTTTTTATGTATTGTTAACTCTATCACCAAAAATGAAAATAAATCAATAAAAAAAATGCCGCTAATCAATCATTAAGGTGCTCCTGCATGGGTTTATATAAGGATCAACTTGCTTGTGTCAAACATAAAGTTAAATGATGTTTGATTGACAGTTTGAATCAACCATTGATGTTTGAATATTGTTTGAAATATCTACAAGTTGTCAGATAATAGGCGGGAAGAAAATGATATGTTAATATCATGCAATGACTTTAATGGACCTGAGTCCGATAAAAGTCATATTTAACATCAGACTTTGTCGGACGGAAAATAATAAAAATTACTATATTATCAGCATAATTTTTGTTAAACATGTATTTTAAAAGTGAACTGGTATAATTAATTTCTTGTGGTAGCTAGAAGTAGCTATCAGCTAATTTTTTTATGGTTATATTTTCCTTAGTTTAATAGAATTAGTAAATTTGGACGCAAAATTTGAGCGCCATGAAATATTTTCAATCTCACATATCATCATCAAATTATATTTATAATTTATCAAAAAATGCCTTAATTAAAAACTATATCTTAGTTGAGCAAAGCACTAGTATTGGATTCCGCATATTCTTTTCAATTTTAAAAAATACAGGAAACAGAAAATAATAAAGCCACCGCCAAAGACTATTTTGGTACTTTAACATTTTTTAAAAATTATATTAATATGGTTAAATGTAAAACATAAATTTATTTTAATAACTGTGAATGTTCTACAACCTTTGTTGAATAAAATGTTAAAACGTGTTTGGCAAGAACTTTTATCGTGTAAACCTTTCTTAATTGTCAATTAACTTGTGCCGTGTCGATCGATAAAGTGTTCTGGTCTTTAAGCGGCTTGGAAAATTTTAATCAACATCAATAATATACTTATTTGGTGAACAATATAATTATATTTGAATTTTAAAAAAGCATTTCAGAAAAATTCGAAAACCATGAGTAAAAATAGAAATAATTCGAGACAGGTATTTTACAAAAAAGTTGTTTTAATCTATACGAATATGGCGTCCATTAATTTTTTCCAATTTGTATTTGCTAGAATTTTAAGATAAATTTACAATACAATTGCTAAATTTAAAATTTTCTTCTTTTTTAAAGTTTAATAATACAATATTTAACCGTGTTGTTTTATATACAAATAGGAAAATGATGATTTCGATGTCGAAGAAGAATTGCAGAAAAAAATCAAATTAAATGATGAGACTGAAGAATATCTATACGCTCGCGGGCCAAAATATGATGAAAATTTATGGCCAATACAATGCTTTTTGTGTCGTTGGACGTATATTATAAATGAGCGAAAGTTTAAAACTCATTTGAAAAGTGATAGGCATTTAGAAAATTTGAAAAAGGCTGAAACAGAACCGCCGAATGCTGAAGAATATCGAAAAATTCATGAACAAGTTTATTCGGATAGAAATAATTTGAAAAATCCTATCAAAATATATCCAGGCGATGATATAGCAGAAAGTATTTATAATTTCTTTTTTCTAATAAGAAATAAAAACGATTTAAATTTTAGTTACTCCGGAATATGGTGATAGACTTCTCCCAATAAAAGTATACAAGTGGGATAATCCACCGTCTGAAAAAGTTACCGAAGAATTAACTCCTGATATTATCATGGATTATAACCGCAGATGCCCCATATTAGGGCTTTGTTATGGCTTCAAAATGGCAAAAAATGATAAAGTTCGTTATTTCTGTGCATTGTGTATTCAAGATTTGAATGAGACCAATGCTTATCAGCACTTTATATCGAAGGAACACTCAATTGCATATGCTGTAATTTATAATATTAAAGAAATGTTATATAATATTGTTTTCATAAAAATTGTCTTTTCGTTTTTCAATTTTTTAGGAAGCACATTATCCGGAAACCTTAAAATTATTGCCGTCTGATATGACTCAAGAACAAAAAATTGATGTTATAAGATATTTTTATCATAAAATTGAAGAGTGGAAAGGATATCGCCCATTTTATTTGGTTAATGCCAACTACTTCGATACATTAAAAGATCGATTTCTACCAAGAGTCATGAAAATTTATCATTACAACGAAAATACTGTAAAATTTCCGGATGATGATATAAAAAAAATAGCTGCATTAGTGAAGTCTGGCAAAGTAATGGTAACAAAATATTTAAATAAATTGCCTAAGCAACCAGAAAAAGAAGAGGATTGTTTAAAAATAGACACATCTTCCGAAGCTGTACCACAAGAGGACGAATGTGATATAGAGAAAAATCGAAGAAAACGTGATCGAAGCAGTTCATTAAAACGATCAAGTAACGCAAAAGAAAGTGAACGTGCTAAGCGTCTGGGTTTGGATGATAGTCCATCCAACTGGCAAAAATACCGCATTTATTGCGATAAGGCATTAAGAAATCTAAATGCTGAATATGCAAACTTTTTCGATATCTCTGAAAGACACCCAAAATACCAAGAAGAATGGAGAAAATTTTATAGAATGAGAACAGATCAACTAAGAAGAGGTAAGAATTTTATTTTAATAAATTATTCAACATAACAATCATTGAAATATGTTATAAGTATATTATAATAAGCATTATTATTTAAGATAAGCTTGAGTTTATTATATGTATGTTAGACATAAACAAAATTTTAACTTTTAACTTATATTTAAATTATAAAATGCTAAATAATTATACCTTAAAAGTAACAAACTGAAAGACAAAACTAAAATTTTTAGATCGTATCAATCCAAATAACTATAACTTTATGCCAGACTGGAATCGCTATTGGATGCGATATTTGGAAGATTGCTATAATGAAGACGCTGAAAAATGTCGTTTTGAAATTCGAAAGTCATTAAAATTACCATTCCGAACCAGGACACCACCCCCAATTGATAACATTGTTGGCAACAACTCTGCTGCTTCTTCTAGTAATTCCAATAAAGGACCCGTACCATTAATGGAACTTGCAATTAGCAATCCTCTTATGATCGATTATCAAAGCGGTAACGTTAACGACGACTTTGAACCATTTAATCGTGGTGGTTCACGTGAAGATGGCGGTGACGACGGTTCCAATAACTTAAATAATAACAATAACAGTAAAAATAATAACGTTAATAATATTAATAACGCAACAACTCAACAACCACAACCATTAATCAGTGATGAACAACTACAACGTATACAACAACAGCAAAAAGCTGAAAGCTCTGATATAATAAGCGTATTATCAGTCTTAAGATTGCTAGCAGCATTAGAAAATGAATTGGGTAGCCTTGGACCCGTTGTTAATCAACTTTTGGGTAAAGCTGTTCTGTATGAAAAGGTATTTTGCATATTTTTGATGTAAAAATATCATTTACCAAGAATTCCTTTAATTGTATTTTCTATTCCTAAAGAAAAAACAAACTATTATTTTTTTTTATCGTTTTTAATTTTACACATTAATTAAACGGGGAATAAGATAAAATATCCACCAGCAAAATGATTATGACTACGTAAAACCATCGATAGAAAACTTGAGAACTTGCTTTACAAAAACGCCTAAATTAAATTCATGCACCTCATTGCTATGATAATTGCTAATAAAATTTAATAGCAATAGGACAATTTAAATCATTGTAACTCTGTAAAAAATCATTTACTTATTATTTGGGGATTAAATTTCTGTTCCATTGATCAGAAATTTTAAAGTGCAAAAACGAAGTATTGGAAAATAAAATCATTCAGCATTTTTCAATACAACTGTGAGCATTGCAAAAAGATTACGATTCCCATCTACAAAATATTTCTTTTTAACATTATTTTAATATATTAAAATTCAAAATTTGCAATATTATTTTAACCAATTTTAAAATATTTGTATTTTCTATAACTAATAAAATTAATACCATATATTATATAAAATAACTTTTATGGAAAAATATTTAAAATTGGCTTCCAATGACGAAGTAACTAATATAATTTATTGAAAATATTATAAAATTGCATTTATACTATCATTTTTTCTTTGTAATTAGGAATCTAAAATGAGTGCAAATGAACTTTTACATGAAAATGAATACTTTACATTATTTGTCACTTCATTGGAAAAACTGAAGGGTATTGTTCTAGCTGGTATAATTCCGGAATCAAAAACTTTCGCAGCCAACAAATGTATAAATGATCTTGAAACAATACTTAATTTATTCGATGAATATTTACGTCGAAATCCAAATGCTGCACAGAAACATATAACATCCAATGAAATATTGGACGGTAAACCAATCGGAGATGAAACATTGAAGAATGATTCAATTAAAATGCAACAATCCTCTGGTCAACGAGGAGGTAACACTATTTCAGGCAATGGAAACAGTGTAAAAATGAATTCGAGTGCAATAAATGCAAATGATTCTCACTTTGCATATGATACAACTATGGATGATATAAAGAATGAATCACTTTCTAAAGGAGGAGGCGGATCAATGGGACTTTCAGGAAAGAGAACAAATAATGATGATATTCCAAGTTTAATGGGAAACAATTTTCGTAGAGGAAATCCTTTTAGCAATTGGTAAAACAATAAAATTATAAAAAATATAAGAAATAAATATAAAAAAGATAAGGCATACATTATGATACACATTATTAATTTCAAAAAGAAATTTTATTAAAATTATAATTAAGATTTAACAGAAACTCCATAAGTACAGTAATTCTGATTTAAAATAATAGAGGAGAAAAAATTCAACATCATGTTTTTAATAATATGAATGTAATGATTATTGTCAATAAAAATAATTACGTATTTCTTTTAGCCTTTTAAACTACCATTCTTTTAATTATTTTAAATAAATTTTAGGCAAATATTGTTATTAATTCCAAATAAAGTTATAAATAAAAAACATTGACAAATGCATTGGTTATCATCGGACCCCCATTATGAAAAGGACAATCACGCATATTCTTATATGCAGTCGTATCGCATGAATACCAGCAAAAAATTATTTGCAAAAATCTATTGAAAATCAAAGTCGAAAACGTAGTTTTCAGAAAAAACCCTTGGTGCTAAATGAATCTGCATTTGGAAGCACCTATTACAAATTACAATATTACCTAGAAAATCGAAGTAAGCAAAATAAAAAAAAACCAGCTTTTTGTTTTTTACATTAATTTATTTTTGTGGGCTTTTAATAGTCAAATAAGTCTTTTTTTTTTTGTTTAAGTGGAAAACATATTGACTATAAGTTTTAAACTTCCAGCATATAATACTAATTATTTTGTATTTAAATTTTAATTATAGGTATTAATTTTTATAATCTTATTTTCTTGAAATTTTATTTAATATGATTTTAATAGATTATTAAAACTTTTTATTCTGTTTTGTGCTACATTAAGTTTTAATTTTCCAAAAAATTCAGGAAATTATTTTAAATTTATAATTTATGGAAATCGTAGAATTATTCATAAAATCTCTTATTTTACTTAATTCCATCTATTACCCCCACCCATCATTTGACTGGTATTATATCCTGAATTTCCTCCACCAACGCCAGTATTGTGAAAACCATTATTTGAATTTGAAGTAGACGAATATCCAGTAGAATAACCGTAACTTTGATTCCCGCCGAATCCACCGCCACGATTATCGTTATTACTACTGCCAGTATTATTTCCACCACTGTTATAATAAGAGTTATTACCACCAAGTTGACCTACTCATTAATTAAAAGAATTTCCGTCAAGAAATTTAAGTTGAAATATTAATATTAAAATTTATAAATTACCACTTTGTTCACCTTTCCACATAACATTGGAACCACTATTATTTCCTGCAGCACCCATATTACTATGGCCATCCATATTCATATCTGGTAAACTTTTACCTGTACGTTTACAATAATCTTCAAACATTTCCATCAATGTTGTTGAGTCTTGAATAATTTTTTTTGCAGCACTCATTAGATTTGTTGGAATTGTATTAGCAATATATTGACCTTTAAGCTTTTCACGTGCAGTAGCAAAGAATATATAAAAGTCCTTCTCCATCATTAAATCGTTCGGGTTTTGTCCATTCTATAAAAATGTTTAATAATCGAAAACAAAAAAGAATTAGACCCAAAAAACAACATTAATTACGAAATAGACATATTATTAAGTTTCGATTTTCCTGCTTTTGTGCACAGTAAGAAAAATAAAAAATTTTTATATAGAAAAAATTTAGTACATACATACATACATACTCGTGATCTCAGCCTAAAAACTTTTTTTTTATAAAAGCGAAGACACAATAATCTTTTTAAGGAAAACAAAATAAAACCACATATTCTATTTTTCTATCCTTAAAAGTTCAAGTTTCAAATGATGCTTTACCTATAGTTTCTAGAGTTTCGTACCAAAGAAGGTCATTAATAAAGAATTCTCTTTAAGGTTAGTATATTATTACTCTCATATCATAACTTCGAAAGTAAACATGTTCAAAATTTTTTATATTTCTTTCTGTCGTTTCAATTTCAGCATTTTTAGCTTTGAATGTTACAAAAATTTCTTACTCTTCACATATGTCAATACTTTTCCTATTTTATTTTTGTAACTTGTCCACTTTTTGTTTTTTATTTCATTATTACCTTTTCAACGATAACTGCTCGGCTCAACAGCTGAACAGCCTGTGGGCCCAAACTTCCTAATTGATTTTCAACAGCTGTAAATAATCTCAAAACGGAAATAACACCTAATGGTTCATTTTGCTGTATTTGTGGTGGTTCTGGTACTGTGCTGTTTAGATTACCACCCATATCCATTCCATAGTTTCCACCACCACCACTTTGCTGATTCATCATGTTCATTAATTCCCTTAACCCAGGAACACTACCATGATTTCCATAATTATCATTACCGCCGTAACCAAGATTTCCTCCTGATGGCCCATAACCACCTCTTTGCATATTATCTCCACCATAATTATCTCTTCTTGGGGGACTTGGTGTACGAGCATTCAAACGCAAACCAAGTTGTCTCTTAACACGTTGCTTACGTTTTTCTAAATCAATACCATATAAAATATGCAAACGTCGTTTCCAATAAGTAGAGAATGGGACATTGAATTCTCTTTTATCTGTTACAATTTAACGAGAAAATAAAGAAGTAAATTATGCTTTTTTTGTTTTTTAAAAAAAAGTTTCATCTTTACAAAATAAAGGATTTTTTTTAATTAAACTAAGATTTCTAGGAAAAATAAATTTGATGATTATACCCCAGTTCCCAAAAAGGTTCACTTTTTTTTTTAAATAATACAAAATAATATCCTTATTTGCTGAGAAAAAAGAAATTACTTAAATGCTTACTAAAATATTTTCTCAACAATAAGGGGCAAACTAAAAATTTTAATTAAAATTTAAAAACGAAAATAGTTTTTTAGCCATTTAAGTGTTTAATATATTAAACTAATCAAGCATACCTTTCCGTTTTTTTCCATTTCTGTACCTTTGGAATTCAATTTCACACTTTGGATGTGATCTGGGTAATCTTTCATAACTGCGGTACTGATGATTTAAATCGTCTACTTCACGATCCAATATTTGAAAATATTTATACCACGAACCGTCTTCTCGTCCACCTCCTCTCATATTATAATCATCATCTCTTCGATCACGATCATTATCACTAAACCAATATATTTTTTGAATAAATTTGAATTTATATTTTTTTCTTAATGTCTTACCGATCTCTGTCAGATACCTGTCTCCCTGCTTTTTCATCCCTAAAAGATAAGCGATACCCCCAACTTGGATTTTCCAATGAAATTAAGTCTGGTTTTAAGAACGGAATATAATTTCCGCATTTCCGGACTAATACATCAATTTCTTGATCAGTTATCAATATTGAACTTTCATCATAATGTTCATCAAATCGAGTTTTAAGTAAGTACCGTTTTTTATGTTTGAAAAAGTCATCGTCATCACAGATAGTGATTTTCTTTTGTCCCTTAATATTTTCAATTTTTCGATACAATTTACGGAATATATTTCTTTCGCAAAACAAAATGTCCAAATCATCAGCATTCCGCAGTTCTTTTAATTTTCTATGAACGTCATTGGAAAGAGTTGGAAAGTGTCGTTTCTGAAACGGAATAAGTACATTTAAGATATGATAAAAATTTTTTTTTCATTTAAACTTAATTATGCAGGTACTTACAATATATTTAAACTGATGATCACTTGAAACAATATGCTTAAAAGCTTCTCCTTTTAAATTTGCATCGCAAAGTGTACAGTAATATGTTAATCCGCGGAATCCCATCATTTTATAAATGTAGCAAAGTCCCAATAAAGGAAGTTTAGCATTATAATCATGCATTTTTTCTTTTGAAAGAGTTTCTATTAATTTCTCGTCCTGTGGTAATTTAACGGCAAAATCTTCCGGTGTTAAAATACGGTCTTGATATTCTTCAGACACTAACAAATAAAAAAATTTTTAATTTTTACTATAATTTTCTTTCAAGAATTAGAGATGTACCTTCTTCAATAAATTCTCCCGGATAAATTTTTATAGATTTTTCTTTTGGAAATTCTTTAGGTACCGATGTCAAAAAAGGTTCATTGTAATATTTTGGGGTAGGTAAACGGAATCTAAGCTTATTTTTATGACCACTACCTTTTAAATGATGTCGAATATGTTCTTCAGTAAATAAATTTCCAAGACGGCATAAATGACAATTTACCGGCCACTTATTTTCTTCATATTTTGGGCCACGCGAAAAAATAAAATTTTCGGACCCATCATTTAATTTCATTTTCAATTTTAAGATATCATCAATACTCATTTTATCAATATCCATTTCGGATATAGCTTTATTAGATTCTTTAGCTTCAGCTTTGGCTTCTTCGGAAAGTTTTGGTCCCTCATCGCCATTTTCAGCATTTTCACCTTCATTGCCTTCTACTTCTTCATTTTCTCCACCCTCTTCTTCGACACCATCGTCTTCATTCTCCTGACCCTCTGCGTCATCATCTTCATATTCTTCTTCAACCTCTTCATTTTCTTCGTCCCCGTTGGCCTCCTCAACTTCTTTCATTTCAACTTTTGGATCTTCTTTTTTCTATAAAAAAAAATTATATTCATTGCAATTCTTTAATCTATAATTGATTATTTTTGTATCGCGTTCTTTATTAAAAAGGAAGCCATGATGATTTTTTTTTTCTTTATTTAATTCTTAAGTTTTGCTTACCTCTTCAGTTTTTTTTATTCTTGCACTAGCTCTTGTCATTTTTAAAATTTACTTTTTTAATTAATTTACAAAGACTTTAGAAATGTAAAAAATATTTTTATTATGAAAACGATACTACACGCTTTACTTTCGGTACAGCAAGCCAGCCAGCGCCAGGTATTGAAATTGAATATTGATTTGATTTTGATTGATGTTGAGAGAAACAAAAATGGCGAAATATTTTATTGGTGTGCTCCGCTCTTTAGCATCAGTGTTGTCACATTTGCTTTGAGAAAATTCCCAAAAACTGCGACAATTTTCCCATTTTTATTTGTTCACTTTTTACACTTTTTGCATTCAAAGATTTATTCAGTGTTTATCTTCGTTTCAGTTTTTAGACAAAATTTAAGTTTTTTTTAAATAAAAAAAATTAATAAACGAACTCTCCAGTTATTTCAGTTTAGTATATTCGTTAATAAGGATAAAATTTTTGATTGGTAAATAATTTTGGCTGAAAGCCCTGACATGAAGCGGAAACCAATCAAAATTTCATTTTAATTCTTCAAATTATTTTTTTTAGAAATTGAAAATTTCAGTAGATTCGTAAAGTTCTAATTTTTATACTTATGTTGCAACTCCCTAAAAATAATTGACAAAATTGACATAAAAAGGGAAATTTGTTACGTTTTGAATACGCTGTGGTTTACTACCTTTACTCAAAATACTCAAAAATTGACAAGTTCAACAATAACATTTTGTGTGGAATAAAATAAATTAATTAAAACTTATTTAAAATTAATTTAATTCATAAAATTAAACAAAATAACGCTGAAAATACTACTGACACCTAACCTTATACATAATATAATATTAAATGTATTATTGACATGCGCACTCAACTAACCACATTATGTCATTTTGTCAAAAATTTTTGAAACAGGTTACCCTGTTCATTGTGTACTTCGTTTGATTCCCGAATTAGTGTTACCATACAGTATAAATTTGTCAGAGTATGATATTTTTCCTAAAGATTTTCATGCACAACACAGTTCTACCTCGGTGTAAAATTAAATTGAAAAATGTTTCCTTACATGAACGACCTAATCCAAAATTTAAAATGCAGTAAAAAGTGACAGCTGCCGATTGCAGCCATGTTAAAGGACCTAATCGTCTATTTTGCTATTGTCAGAAGAAAGTTGGTAACTATCCTATTATTGAGTGAGTGCAAAATTCCAATAGAAATGAGATTGGAAAAATGAAATATCCGTCAAAAAACGCAAAATTCTGATTTGAGAATTAATAAACCAAGTTAAAATACACGATTAGGATGTAAATGTTCAGTTTAGCGCTCTACACTAAGTTAGAGCAAATCTGATACTTAATTATCGCACGTAGTTTTAATGGGTTATATTTGAATATGTAAAAATGCCATTTTCAGTTTTTTGAAGTGTTTTACGATTCCTGCTGCTATCTAAATCAAAAATTATTTCATATGTACATACATATATACTTTAACATTTACATAGGTTGACTTGCAGCCCTTCAAAAAAGGTTAATGCTTGCACCATTTATCAACCCAGATCTTATAGTGATTACTATCTAGGAAAATTTGGGTACCTGTAGAGTGTTTTTTTTAAATAGTAGATTAGGCAGACAATTTTACTGATTTATTTTAAAATGCAACATATTACATTTTACTTAAAAGTTGCTTGTTTATTAAAAAGTACTTAATTTAAAATATTAATATTTTTTTACCAGGCTGAGAACTGCAATTTTCCTAAATTTGTATTCAGTAAGAAAACATCAAATTGAATTTAGCGTCTTGAGAAATTTCTTCCTCCAAAATTTTGGGGTGAGAAATCATTAGCTCCACCAAAGTTGTTATTTAACAAACTTGGCAAATTTTTTTGCTGATTCTGGTTGTTAGCGTTCCAATTTTGTTCATTCAAATTTCTTTGACCATAGCCTCCAGAATTGTTTTGACCACCAAAATTAGAATTATTTCGCTGATACAAATTATCTGCAGCACTGTTTCTATTAAAATTATCTCTGTTATTTATATTTCTGTTAAAATCATCTTTGTTATTATTTCCTCCTCGATTAATAAAATTTCCTAAATCTCTTTGATTATAGCCTGAATCAAAAGAATTGTTTTGATTATATCCTGAACCTCTTTGATTTGTATTGAATCTGTCGTTATCATTCCTTTGATTATTATTTTGATAATCTCTTTGATTGTTATTCTGACTGTTTTTATTGGAAAAGTCTCTTTCATATCGATCATTTCCTTTCATGTTATTATCGGTGTTATTGTTATTATAATTATCTCTGGAATATCTTTGATTATTATTTCCATTATCCCATTGATCGTTGTTTCTTTGATTTAGCTGAAAATCATTTCTTGCGTTGCTGGAACGATTGTCGTTATAATTATTAGATGTATTATTTCCACGACCTTGCATATTTCTATTGCTGTTATCATAGTTTCCTCTTCTATCTGACTGACCACCATTTGAACGATCATAATTGTTGCTTCCAATACGATTCATATTTCCGGAATAGCCGCCCATATCATTGTTATTGTTCCATTTATCATTGAAATTCGATTGATCCTGATTTCCTGACCACCTGCCAGCATTAGAATTATCGTTTTTCTGTTCATTCCTTAGCGGTATTTTTGTACTACTGTCACTTAATGAAATAGGTCCACCGGATAAAGCAGAATTATTAGATTCAGAATTTGGGAATTGACGTTTACGTAGAATAATAGATGATTGCATATGATTTTTGCCAGCCTCCGGATTTCGACGTAAATACTCTTCGAATAAGTTAAGAATTTTTTCCAAATCATTGACACAACTTCTTGTTGCATTAACTTTAATATCCGGAATTAGGCCCGCCGACAGTAAACCTCTTAATTTTTCCAATGATGTTGCAAATAAGGAAAAATATTCAGTTTCATGTAATAACTCGTTTGCACTCTGTTTTGCCTCCTGAATAATAAAAGAAAACAAATATTAGAATTCAAATAAAAATTATTTTAATATTCAGCTTTTCTGTGTCATGCTTTAGCTGAATAGTTAAATATCATTTTCAATGTTTATGATATTGTATGTTTTTTCATAAAACTTTATATTAAATATACAATTTTTCCTATATTTTAATGTGATGCGGGAAAAATATGTTTTTCTTTTAATTGCTTATTCAGATTTGCTAAGTCAAATTTTCATAGAAATTCATATTTACGTTTATATCCAAAATTTTCAAATGGGTATAATTTACTATATGAACTATACCATAATAAATAAAATTGCTAATGATTCAGATTCATATAATTTTTAGACGTTAAATGAAATAATAAAAGATTGATGAAAAAATCTCGAATGTTGAGAATTGCCTTTCAAATAATTCTCAACAGATATACTAAACAGGTACAACGTTATTATCAATTTTCATGCGATTATAAATCCGACGAGGCCTTGATTAACCTTGTACGCATCGAAATTTCATTCAATGCGTAAAATATAGAAGTAGATAAAACATATTTTAAAACTTTAAAATGTTTAAAATTTAAGTTTTAAAATTTTTAAGATGAATTGCAAAAAATATTACTCATGTCGCCAAAACTAGTCTTAAAATTTTCGGTGTAGTACGACATTACTTGCATAATCCGAAAAAATGTTCTTTTTAAGAAAAAATCTCTATTTTTTTCTTAAATTAAAATTAATTTTATAAGGGTTCTGCAACTCTCTACAAACATACATGTATATTTGTTGTCGATTTTAAAATTTTATTTAAAATTCTTCATTTTACTTTTATTGAATAAAGTCTGTAAAGAGGTGATTTTAGTTCATTTTCATTTAATACATGTTTTTCAGAACGACTTCTTGCTTCTGAAATTCGTATTTGTTAAGTCGAGATTTAATAATTAACATATTTTATTATGCAGTGAATGTTCCAAAAGGTGATGGCAAGTATCAGAAATCATCATTGCGCTAATTATGGACATAAACTCATAGTTTAATTTAAACTATTATTATTTATGTAATTTGCAATAAACACTTAAAATTTTCTACATAATTTTAATACTAAAAGCAATTATTTAAAATATTTTGGTTGGAATTCACTTACTTTTTCCCTCTTTCAAAATTATTTTGGATTTTTTTTTTACTTACATAATATAGATGTTTATGTCAAAGGTAAACATTAAATATAATTAAAAAATAAATACTAACACTTAGAAATCACTTTAGATAAAAATAGTGATTTTAATTCGTTTTCATTAATTCATAATAGTGTATACCTTTTCATATAATATAGCTTTTCCTAAAAGCTGATTAGCAGTAGGTCCCAAGCTACCTAATTCATTTTCAAGTGCTGTTAAAATTCTCAAAACTGACATTACACTCGTTGGAGTATTATCCTTATTATTAGCAACATTATGTTGCATCTGTTGACGTTGTTGTGGTTGCTGCTGTTGTTGTTGGTGTTGCTGTTGTTGCTGATGCGATTGTTGTGATTGATGTGCTTTTGATTGTAACGAGGTTTGTTGCATCGATTGTTGTTGAAATAATTGTTGTGCGGGTAATGATGGTGGTTGATTTTGATATTTATTACCACCATCAAAACTACCAAAAATGGAACCGACACTCATCAGTGGAACAGGTCCACTTTGTACTTTATTAGTATCATTATTTTGCGAACCAATATCAGTACCTGAACTAAACTTACAACCTTCAAAAACATTTGGAGGTTCTGGAGTTTCGTCACGAAAAGGTAATCTTAAATTTTTTCTAAATTCAAATTTACATTTAGTAGCATCTTTTTTAAAACATTGTTTCAAATAGTGCATCCAGTATTCATTCCATTCCGGCATAAAATTATAATTATTTGGATTGATTCTATCTAAAGTATATAATTAAAATATTCATGGAATAAAATCAAAAAATTTTACTACATAATTAAACAAACGTTACGTAAAGCAGAATATAGAAAATAAGATAGTAGTACATTTTTTACTTCTGTTTCTTTTAACAAAAATTAATAAAAAGATTTTATCGGAAAACGATATTATAAAGAAATAGAAACGTAAGTGCCGTTCAGATATTTTGAATAAAACCCTTCCACTTTTTATAACAGAAAGGTTTCACCTGCCTTTATTGATGCATTGAAGCTTTGTATCTCAAATTAAATTAAGTTTTCATTTTTGTTGATCACAATTTAAATCAACTTTGGAATGAACAAATTTCAAATATTTATAAAAATTTATTCTTAAATGAAAACTTTCATATTTTTTTACACTTGTTAGGATGTTTTATATACATTCATTCCTTTTTAACAAATTAAGGAACTTTCACAATCTCTAATTCATGAATTCTTAAATTTTTAAAGAATCTACAACTGAGTTTTATCCGTTCCTAAATGTAACTGATTTCTCATCTAAGTGAAAAATTTCTTATATACATATATAACGAGGGTCTTCTTAATTTTACTTAAGAATCGTCAAAATTTCTAAAGATTCATAAGTACAAAATACTATTATAAAATAAATTCACATTTTATAACAGAAATACAGAATATCTTACATTGTATTAAAAACAAAAATGCATGATTAAATTAATAAATGCATTTAAAGACGTTTCAATCATTCTAGGTACTAACTACCTAAATTGATTTACTACCATTTTAGATAACTATAATGTAACAAATCTATAATAATCCTTCAAAAAGTGTTTGGATGATAAACTTATACTTATTTACGTATTAATTCAAAAAACAATATTTAAATATTTTAATTTAAAAAAGATACAATAAAATTTTACCTCTTCGCAATTCTCTTGTTTTCATTGTCCAAAAATTTGTCCATTCTTCTCTATATTTTGGATGTCTCTCAGAAACCATTGAAAATCTTTCATATTCATTGTTTAAACTTTGTATTGCACGGTGACACAAATCACGGTATCTTTGCCAATTAGCTGGACTATCATCCAATCTTAGTCTCTTGTTTCTTCTTTCTTGTTCACTTTCCATTCTTGCTTTTTTCTCTGGTTCCTCTTTTTTATTTCTTCTATTCTTATTTCTTCGTTTTCTTGATTTTGGAATTTTATTTTGTTTATTTGCATTGTCTTTTTTCAAGATTTCATCAATATTAGGTAGCTCTTCTTCAACATCTGCTGGTAATTGTGTAAATTCATTTTCAGATTTTGGCTGCTTTGATAAACGTTCTGGATTTGTAGGAACAATCATTTGCCGTTTTTTAATTTTCTCAAACATATCCTTCAGTTCACTTTCAGAAAATATAATAGTTGTATCGCAATAATGATAAATTCTGTTAGCTCTCTGTATAAAACGATCCTTCACTGCAGCAAAACCTTTTCCGTTAACAAGATAAAATGGTCGATGCCCTTTCCAATTTTCAAGTTTCTGATAAATTGACCGAATAATTGTAGCTTTTTGATCTTCAGTAATTCCATTAATTTCAGAAAGTTTTTTCATTGTTTCTGGAAAATGCTTATCCTAAAACAAGAGTAATTCAATTTGAATAACAGCAAAATGTATTACACATTCGAATTTACTTACTACATAAACTTTGAAATGTTCTTTCCCGTTGAAATGCTGATAAGCATCAAGTTCTGTATGCTCCGTATCACAAATTCCACAATGATAAATAATCTTTTTATCTTTTACCATTTTAAATCCGTAGCATAAACCCAATATTGGAGATTTTTGATTAAAATCCATTATAATATCAGATTTAAGAGTTTCAATATAACCTTCAGCTGGTGGCATATCCCAAAGAAACTCTTTCATTTTTATTAAACGATCAGCGTAATCGGTGGTAACTAATTTTTTGTACGAAAATGATATTTAAAATTTACAATGGTGAAAAAATTTAGAATGAATTAAATAAATTTTTTTTCAAATCTTACGTTCGGCAATAGTTTCTCCAGGATAAATTTTTATTGGGTTTTTAAACATATTCATTCGATCGGAGTACACTTGTTCATACGGTTGACGAAATTCTTCAGCATTTGGTGGTTCTTTAGTAGCTTTCTCCAAATTTTCCAAATGTTTTGGATTTTTGGTATGAGATTGAAATTTTTTTTCATTTACTATGCGACCTATTCGGCATAGAAAACATTGTATTGGCCAAAATTCTTCTGAGTACTTCGGACCTCTGGAATATATATACTCCTCACTGTCATCACTTAACTTGATTTTCTTTTCAAACTCAGCATTAAAATCAAAAGTTTCGTCTGATTCATTTGCCTTATTATCAACTTTCTGAAAAAAAATACATTTTTTTTTTTTATTTTTAAACCCCACTAATTTTTTTTGTGTTAAGTCTTTTTTTGTTAAGTGAAAGAAAATTTTTATTCTTAAAATTTATTTTTATTTTGCGATATTTATTCAATATAAATACATTAAAATGTGCGTATTGTAAATTAAAATTACAAAAATGAAAATTTTTATTTAACATAAAGAAAATTAACGTAAAACTTGATTAATTATTTCGTAGTTGTGTTTAGCTGTAGTAACACTCCCACTAGAATTAATATTGGATACTGTTTGCGCAACTTTAGAATTATCAGATTGTGTTGTATCTAAAAATATAGCGTCTTGATAAACAAGATTACGATCCGGTTTAATCGTTTCTCTATGTTTATGTAAATATAATGTTAAAGGCTCAACGTAATTGTCAAAACCCAGAGCGTTAAAAGCATATATTAAATCATCACCATTTACGGTTTTTCTATTTTCGCTATGACTGCGATCAATTGCTTCTGATGTTATAAAAGATATAAATTCTGAAACACATTCTTGTATACATTCTCTTGCATCTTTTGCTATTTTTCCATTTTCAGGGACAGCAGTTTTCATTATTTTGATAATATTGCAAATTGGTAAGAAACGATCTTGTTCACGTAACATAAAACCAGAAGTTGTATCTGTAGTTGAATCTTCCCCTGAGATATCATCATCTTCATCGTCATCATCAAAGAGATCAGTTTCAAAATTATCTGTTATATCCATTATAAAAAGGTTTGTAGGTATTTTTTCTCACAATTCAATTATTTTCGTTCACTAAGATTTTGGAAAAAGTAGAGAAACAAAATAAAAATGTTTTAATAAAAACAAATCTAATTATTTAGTTAGGTAGGTAAGTAATATTTTACAATGAATTTACAATTTATCAACTGATACTCTTTGAAAAGACGATGAGATGATGATACTTTCCAATTACCCCAAAATCAAATTTTCTTCAACTTAAATACTTTATAACCATATACATACATATTAAAATTATTGCACATAATATTATGTAGGTATTTTTGAAAAATCAGTTTTTTATATAATTACGAACTCAACTTAAAAAAAATCATTCAACTTACCTTGTCCTAAACAGAACCTAGAACAAAATCCAAACGCGTATGCATTTGCTATCTGTACCAAGCACATTAAATGTATACGAAAAAGCGAAAAGGCACAATAATTAACACTTTTCTTAACTTAGAAAATTTATTAATGGATTTACTTATACAGATACGTACATGCATGTATGTACGTATGTAAATACATTTATAAGCATTATAAGAGGCATTATCTCTAATTTTTAGAATTTTTATAATTCTTCCTTTTTCTGGAAAAATATACTGCTACATTTTTTATAAAGGTGCTATTTGAAAATTTTCACTAAGAAAAATCTATATAATATTAAACTATAATGAAAGTACATAAATTTCATACAAAAACTAAAAACCATTAATCATCTCACCGCCATCTTTGTACTCATATTTATTTTTGAAAAATTTGAAATGAAATCTTTACCTTAATTTCGGTATCTTTGTTTGCCATTTTAAAATATTTCCAACAATTTCTTTTAAAAATTTAATTTTGCTCTGTTAGTTTTATAGTTTTAAAATAACAATATCCAGAAATTTATTTAAAAAAAAAATTACACTAAAACTTAATTCAAAGTCAAACTAAAGCCAAGCACTCAAACAGCTATGCTGATGCTCTTATGCTAAGCAATGTAATGTAATGTAAAGTAAAATGTAATAAAATGATAGAATAATAGAGCATCTTTGAATATGAAACGAAATGGATTTTCAAAAAAGTGTTTACATCTCGCTCGACTCGACTGACAATGTACAAAATGGAAACATGATATTATTACTCCATTATCAGGTTGCCTTACCAGTAATGGATCATACGTTTTGCTACACCAAACCAATAATCAAAAACAAATCGATAATAAGTTGAAAACAGAAGTTGAAATTTTTGAATCAAGTCGATCTGATAAAACTATTATCTCGGCTTTAAAGTCGACTGCCTATACAGTAATTGAAAAATTGAAAAGAACAGATATGTTATAATGTTTGTCACCTAATGTCAAACTTACGTCGATTACAAATAATATTATTTCAACCTGACTATATATACACATATTGAAATTTCAAGTCTCTGATTCGCCATATAAAAGAAGTTTTTTTTTTTTTTTTTTTTTTTTTCCTTTGTTCACTCCTAGAAGGAGCATAGGGCTAGTGCATGATTTCTCATGCACTAGTTTCATAGCGTCATAGGGTTTATGAAAGTAGGTGACTAGCCTGCCGTAGTTTTTATTTATATATTAATTATTTGAAGTTATTAATATTTACTATTTATTTTTCTTAGTTTTTTTTAATATCGAATATTAGGAATATTTGAAAATTACTTGTATAATACTTTTATTAGTATTGTATTAAGTTATAATAATATTGAATATAATTTTTATAGTGACCTGACCGGGGTTTGAACCCGAGACCCTTCGGTTAAAGGACCGGTGCCATAACCACTACACCAATGGTCAGATATATAAAAGAAGTAATAGAATGCATATATTTAAAAGGGACTAAATCAAGCGAATTTGATCGCCTATAGTTCCCTTTTTTTGGCATCATCTGTTTCTATGTGTGTGTGACATTGTATGCAAAACAATGAACAGTGCATTTTCCCATTCCACTGTTGTTCTGGGTGAACAACAAAAATTGTCCGCTCACCGCTATGTTTTTAGAATAAAGGTGGATTGACTTAATGATAGGTCGTGTGGCCAGAATTTTTAAGCAATCAAAAATTTTAATTTGACTTCCACGAACAAACAAATTACCATTTCTGTGAACAAAAAATTACATATGATATTATTTCTGTTTACTCGTAATTTTCTGAATTGTTTAAAAATTCTGCGGGCGTCCGGCCATTGAATTGAAGTCCACTTTTCTTTTAAATGAGGCATCTACGAAAATTAGAAATTAGAAGATTCTGATGATCGCTTTTATACTATTAAATATGTAACTCTTTTTGTTTTTAGTAACTGATAGGGAAGATAGTGATAAACCTTCGCGTTATTTTAATAATAATGCTTAGGGAACTTAGGAAAGGGAACGAGCGGCGCTACAGAAACAATTTTGAATAACTTGAACAAAACACCACTTAAAGTTAGGGTTGCAGTACAGTCCGTCTCTATATAATATTACTCAACGAATTAGAATACTAAAAGAAGGAGCATCTTGAAAAAACAATGAAACCAAATTTTGTCTAGTTGTCTCTTTCTTTGCTCCGGTGATTGTCAAAGTAGTATTTCTAATTCGTTGATACTACTCATAATGTTATTTTTTAGAAAACGTACCATTTTTAAGATCTTTAATTAAAAAGAGATCTTAACATTTTTAAATTAAAGTATCTGGCAGTTCTTTTTGCAATCAACTTTAAAATAATATTAAAAGGAACATGAAGTTTATGTAGTACAGTAGAAAGAAGCAGAAATAAATATTATACCCATAATTATATCAGCTGATTAAAAGAAAAAAAACTGTAGAAAATATTTAATTTTTCTCAAATTGAAATGAGTAACGATCCAATTTTGTTTAATACAGACAGTTATTCTCAGGATGCATTTTCCTTAAATTATCAAGATCCATATTCCTTAAATAATGCTGCAATCAAAGAAAAATTAAATTTACATGTTAAACGTCGTTTACTTGAAACAATTCCTCTTGGGACTGTTTACAGTTCAGGAAATGTAGATAATAATAATATTGCTCCGAATTCGAATGATGATACTGCTTGTGGTCCATCAAAACCAAAAAATAAAAGAGGAAGAAGATCAAAGAAAACTAGTACTATAACTAGCGGAATCCTGAATACTGAAAAAGTGTCAAGTACTAGTAGCCAAAGCGATTATAACGCCGCAATTACTGGGTTTGCAAGCACTCATATGAGCCCTCCTTCAGTAATATCAACAAACAATCACCAAATGAAAAGTAATAAAATTAAAGATAAAGATAAAAATCAAGAAATGGATCAATTGGTTAAAATCTTAAACGAAAAGAAATTGCTTCTAATGCAGGATCCAGCCATAATAACTTTACTAGATGACTTAACAATGAAATTACGCGCAAAAAAAATTAATTCCAATCAATAATTTGCATTCACAAAACTGTACCTGTTTTAAAAACACAATATCAGATAGACAGACTGATGAGATTTATTACAAATTTATAATTTTTATAATCAAAACGAATTTTTCACTTTGCAAAGTTTATTGAAATATATTATGTTAAAAATATGTAAGTTTTTCAAATTTAATAACTAAAAATAAGATTACGTGTTTTCATTTCTCGACATATTACTTTGAATTGCTAATCTTATCGAATCAGCAAGATATCTAATTGCAGAAGATATTTGCTTTGTCATGTCACCGATCGCCTTAATTTTGTCCTTTTCTAAAGCTATTTTCATTGCCTTAAAATCATCTTGGTCATCACTTTCTTCATAATTATTTAACTTCCGTTTTTTGGGGATATTTTTTATAACTACGGGATCTACACGGATTTCTTGAGCTTCAACTTAAAATAAAAACAAATCTTATTTTATGAATTAAAAATGTGATAATAATACTTTTTATCTGTTCCTGTTCGAAATCTCCAATGCTCGATTTATCTATATTATCTTCGTTTTCTGAAAAATATTTATCTTCTTTGTCGTTTTTATAATCACCTTCCTTGTATCTCCTTTCAGCTCTTAAATGTCTTTGTGAATAAGAATGTGATTTCAAACTTGAAAATTTTACGTTTAGTAATTTATTACAGAACCGACATTTAACTTGATCTCTATCAATTATTATCCAATCTCTTAGATGTGGATCGGAACACCATGCTTTTCTTGGTTTTTGTTTATAAGTCTTTTTAGTTGATGCCCCAGTAGTTTTAACAGTTTCTTCGACGTCAGCTTCTTCTCCATCAAGATCAGATTCAAACATGCTTTCCTCACTATTTCCATCAAACGAATTTAAATCATTCCTAAAATTTTTATTTACAATAAAAAAATTCATAAAATTCGGAGTTTAATTATGCATTTAAAATATTAATTTTATTTACCTTTTCATTTCTATATTTTTATTATAATCTAATGCTTCAACTTTAATTTCAATTATTTTGAGCTTGGCAGAGTTTTAAATTGACAACTGCATCAATTGACAGGGATGCTCAATATATTATAATTTAAAAAGAGTAAAGATGAATTCGACTCTTTATGTTCGATCATATTGGTACCTAAACAAAAACGCATACAGATTGCAAACACTGCACTTAAAAACTGCAAAACTTGGCAGCTGCGAAAATGTGAGCTTTAACGTAAGATAAAACACAATATAGGCGTACTGCTGCAACGACAAGGAAGTTTGTGTTGTAAAAAATAATAAAATTTTCGAAGAAATTATTAAATAATCTATCAAAAATAAAATATGACCGATAGTTACCGTGTTGTAACCACAGTTTCTGTGTTTCAGCGTTTCTTGTGATTTACTCATAAATGAGGCGCTCAGCGCATTAGCGTATATGAATCCAATTTGTTTTTTCTGACATCCGAATGCTTAATTTTGCCTTCATTCAAATTATTTATAGCGCAATATTTTTAAAAGTTTAAAAACCTCAAATAAACTTATTTTTATAAGGTTTAACAACTTTATACGAAGTTTTATATTGGATGAACAGCATAACGAAAAACATAATGAAACATAAATTGATACTCTAGCCAATATAGATAAAAAACTACTTTTATATAAAAAAGGAAAATTTTAATTTGGAGTGATATTAAAAGAATCTTAAATTCTTATAGCACGATTATGCGTATTATATACATATTATGATTTGAATAACCTCTAGAAATAAAATTGCAGAAATACGATATTAACACGTTATTTAGCATTCTCGTAAATTACTTAAAATTTTAATAAAAAGAAAATTGAGTATGGGATGAAATGAAATTTATTTAAACGTCAAAATCAGATTACCAATATTGTTTATATACATATATCGAATTGTTAAAATTTTTTAAAAACCGCTGCTAATGCTACCTCTTTTTGCTCTTTGCAGAATTGCCAACAATCTTTGTAAGATCTTTTTTTTATCCTTCTTGTTGAGATTTGATTGAAGGAAGCGGCCCAAATCGTGGTAATAAATAGGTATAAAAATAATTTTTATAATTAATTGAATAAAAAAAATTAAAAATAAAGAATATGAAATAACACAAAATATATTTACTGTCTTTAGAAAATAATAAAATTTGCAAAGCACGATTTTTAAAAAAAGATTTTTTTTAAAATGGTGAAACACGTGTTTTCATTAAATAAAAATTTTTCATCCATGTTTTTTCAAGTATTAAAGAGAAAAAAAAATGCGCATTTACTTTTGCAAAAAATCATAAATAATTTAGAGCATATTTGAAAGAAAATGTACATTTGCTTGAAAAAATAAAACTAATGAATTTATTTTAGCTTTATGAATTAACTGCCATGCTAAATAGGTACCTAAGGAAAAAATTTTTTTTTTCAGAAGCAACAAACTGGTGTGATACTACTTAGAAAATGAGTGGAAAAAAGAAAGAACAAGCAATTGTAGCTAAGAATACTAGCGAAAGCCATGAGGGAAATAGTGATTCTGATATGGATGAAGGCCGTGCTTCGTCATTTTTTTATAGCACGTAAGTATGGAATATGTGAACTCACCTAAAGTAGACTTAAATTTTCAAAAAAAAATTTTATATTTTATCTACATACATAAATCTTTCATAAATTGAAAATAAATATCAATTTATAGTATAAATGTTGTGTTAACCTCTGAAAGAAAAGATTTAGATAGATATACAACTTATACGTCACAAATTGTATATAATATGTATGTAATTGTAAAAATTATTTAGTTTTCCAAAAGTATTTCATTGTGTACCAGGAAATATCTTTCAATTATTAAATATTTCCTTTGCGTGTTAAAAATAATAAGTTAGATAATTAAACAAAAAGGGCTTAATAACTAACTGTTAGATATTTGCCACATGTTACAGAAAAGCGGTACACGTTTTTATAAAATTTCGTTTGAAAATTTTTGTTAATGGCTAAAAAATTAAATAATTTATTTTTTTTTTTTATATATGTATATAATTAGTCCAGGTTTTATGAGCGCTGTAATGCGCCGTCAAGTATTGCAAGAAATGGTAAAAATGTTACCATCAAAAGTTCAGCATCGTATTCGAGCATTGAAAAATATCCAATTGGAGCAATTAAAATTGGAAGCTGAATTTTATGAAGAAGTTTACCAATTAGAAAAGAAATATCATTTAAAATATCAACCATTATTTGATAAAAGAAAAGAAATTATTGGCGGCGATACTGAACCAAACGAGAATGAAGAACAAAATTGGAAATCAGAAGATGAAGAAGTGGAAATGTCTGAAAAATTAAAGGAAATTTCATTAAAAATGCAGAAAAATTTAAAATCAAATTATACAGATGATGTTAAAGGTGTACCAGATTTCTGGTTAACGATATTTCGTAGTACAGAAATTTTATCTGAAATGGTGCAAGAACATGATGAACCAGTCTTAAAAAAATTAAGAGACATTAAAATTGTTTATGGTGATGATGTAAGTCAAGTCAGTAATAAACTTAAAACAAATCTATTATTTTTTAATTTAAAGCGTCATAATCTAATCAAGATTAGCAAAATTATAACGCTCCTATAACGTTAGAGATTTCATAAATGACGCTATAATAAAATTATTTTCAATTTGCAACCATTTCCTACATAATATTTACTAGGAAATTTACGTACGAAAATTACATTAATTTAAAATGTTAAACTATCGTAAAAGTTATTCCAAATTTTCTTTCCCAGTAAATCTATATTTTGAATATTTTTTTTATTTTTGATTAAAAATATTTTAAATATTATTTGGGATAAATAAAAGCTTAGTATTGTTGAATTAAAATGAATTTTACATTTAGATTCTAACTCCCTAAGCCATATCAAATTCATCATTTAAATTTAAGAATTGGTTATATATATATATGCATATTATATCTATGTACAAACCTATATTATTATTCCTTTCTTTCAAATAGCAATCATATACATTGGAATTCCACTTCGATAAAAATGAATATTTCTCGAACCCAGTTTTAACGAAACAATATTTCTTAAAATTGTCGCTTGATGATGATTATCCATTTGCTTTTGAAGGACCAGAAATTTACAAATGCAAGGTATAATAATATCGAATGAACTAAGAAATACCACTCCAAATATTTACTCTTTATTTTAATTTAATTTTTCAAGGGTTGCACAATCAATTGGGAAAAATCTCAAAATTTAACAATTAAAACAATACGAAAAAAACAAAAGCATAAGGAACGTGGTGCTGTTCGTACAATAACGAAACAAGTTCCAAATGATTCATTTTTCAATTTTTTCAATCCTCCAGAAATGCCAGAGGATAAAAATGCTATTGACGAGGAATCTCAATCGGTAAATAAAATAATTTAATTCCATTTTCATTTCGATAAATCAAAATTGAAAAAAACAAAATTTATTTTTTACAGATATTAGCAACTGATTTCGAAATTGGTCATTTCTTACGTTCAAGAATTATTCCAAAAGCTGTCCTCTATTATACTGGTGATATAGTTGATGATGACGATGATGATGATTATGATGAGGTAATTTAAAATTATTTTATAAAAATAAATAACCTGTAATTGCAGTTCTATACCATATGTCAGTAAAGAATATTATTTTAATAAAATAATATACTTAATTATTGACTATAAGTGGCTGCAATAATAAATTAGTTTAAACTTTACCAATATTAGATGATTATATTTTATACTCTATTATTTGATAAATTAAACTTACAAATTAAATTAGAAAAATTATGTTTTGTTTTAAAAATAATGAAATCTAATTTTTGAAAAATTTTTATTTTAAAATTAAAGGAAGAAGAGGAAGAGGATGAAGAAGAAGAAGACACTGAGGATGATGATAATCCACAGCATAAAACCGGTGGTGGAAATAAAGTTAAGAAACCAACACCGAATGATTGTCCAAACCAGTGAGGAAGGGCTAAAACTAGGGAAGAGAAATTTTCTAAATAATGTATTTTTTTTTTTTCTATAAAAATAAAAAACCCCGCCCAAAAATCGTCAGCAGGAAACTATATAGTAATACATATTTAAAAAAAAATAATAAAAAAAAAATTTGAAAACTCATTTTTTAAGATAAATTTAATCTACGAGGAAAAGAAAAGTGATCCAAAATTTTACTCATCTTTCATTATACATAAAAAATAAAATGCAAAGAAATTTTCCATTTTTTTTTTTAAATAGAATTTTATGTTTTAATTTATAAAATGCATGGTGTTCAACAGGAAGAATTTTTTTTTTATATAAATACCTAAATACATACTATATATATATATATAGAGGAACACATTGGATGTAATTATTATTAATTTTTATTTTATTCTTATTTTAAATTTCTATTTCAATTTCATAAATTGATCATCACTCTCGTTATTAAATTTTAAAAAAGAAAATCAAGAAAGTCATATGCTTCTTATTCAAAATTATGAAAGGAAAAACAGATTAATTATAAAAATAAATAAAATATAATAATATAGAATAAAAAAATTTGATTTTTTTTTTAATTTATTTATTTTAAGGATTTATTTATAAAAACTTTGAATGTTTTCAACTTCTGAGGTGTATTAATTTATGCATACATATAAAAAATATTTTGTTAACCTTTTAAATTGTAATATTGAGTAAGAGAAAACAAATTTTAAAAATTATTGTAACTTAACAGTTTTATAGATTCGATATTAATAGCAAATACCTATTTCCGAATTTGTAGTAAGATTTTTTTGAATAGTTTCTGTTTTTTACTCTTAATTTTTCCTCAGATTTAGAATAAAAGTGTATTTTAACAAGTAAATTAATTTAAAGTAAAGAAAAATGTAATATTTTAATTAATTATTGCAAACAATTTAAAATGTTGGAAAACTGGTTTAGTGTACCTACATGTTATGTGAGAAAGTAATAAATAGCTTTACTTATTCTGAAAATTTTATTGATTTGTATATAATTGAAATTATTACTTTTATTAAACATTTTAAATTGTTTTCGATTTAAATTGCGATTAAATGCAATTAGTTAAGTTAAACAAAAATAATTTTTTGGAGATATAGTTGAAACCTAAACTAATACGCATTTTCTCGATCAACCCAAAAATTTGTAATGATGTCAATTAATTTTTAATCCTCTACTGTTTTTTTTTTATAAAAAATTAATATGTAAAAAGATATTTGCAAAATTCATCTCTTGAATTATTTTAAAATTTCTATTCTTATTCATATAATTTTTATATTATAAAAATAAAAGCATGTAATTAAAAGAAAAAACAAAAAAAAAAAAACAAGAACTTCACAAGAAATTTTTATTTTTCATATAATTGAATCCTTTTAATAAATTGGAAATAAAAATTAAAAACAAATTACTATTATATATTTTTAAACTTAACAATTGGTTTGTTAAATTACATTCCTTAAAAAATAGAATATTATTTTCTTTTACAACTTACCTTGATTTTGGATTTTTGTTTATTGCATTTACACCATCTTTTAATAAAATTAATTTTGTATAATGTTAATTTGGAATATTTTTTTGAATGCTTTTGATAATAAGTAATTGAAAGTTATTTAAAAGAAACAATTGAGGGAATTATATAATAAAATAATAAATAAAAGAAAAAACAAAAGTCTGGAGTGTTTATGAAACACAATAAAGAAAAAAATAATTAAAAATATAAAACAAAAAAATATGTGTGAATTGCTGCTTTAAATGTTTAATTCTATTTTTTTTTTAGTAAAATATTTTTTCTGTAATCTGGTTATGTAATTCGAAAGCAGCAAAATAATATTAATTTGTTCTGTAGGGCTTCAGAATATAAGCACACGTTAATTATATAAAAAGAAATGTTATAAACAATTATTAGAAAAAAAAAAAAAGAATCAAATTAGGGGTTGAAACCGAAGAAATTTCCGTATTTTGTTAACTACATAATTATAAAATGGTATTAATTTTAGAACATAGTAAGAATTTTATAATTTCGAAATTCAATTACATACAAGAAGAGAATATTTAAAATTAAAATAAATTCAAGAATATTAAATCTATTCAAATTTGCGTTAAAATATTAAGATTTTTAAGTTATTCAAGTATTGAAAGTTTTTAAAAATCCAGTTTTACAATTTAAGGACTTCATAGTCTATTCAAACCTTGTGTCATTAAATATACCTATATTTATTTAGTCTTAATCAAATACATACTCATATTCTGTTAGGTCGCATCACTTGAGCTGATGCGATATTGTATTGAAGATTTTACATAATATTCGGAAAAAATAAAAATTTTTTAATAACAACCCACCACGTCAATTGGTGCGACTAACAGAATCTAAGTAAAAATTGTTATTTTAAAATATTCTTGAATTCATTTCATTCGTTCTTTTGTGAAATGAGTTTGTTGTAAATTGAATTTATTTCAAATGAAATTTTTCAGTAAAGTGAACACTAATATTTACCTAATTTTGATTCAATTAACTTCTAAAGTTTTATGTGTCTATTTTTTTTTAATTGGAAATAATAAAATACAATACCTAAATAAATATTTAATTTTTATTAAAAAAAAAAATTCAAACCAGCCAAATTTGAAATATGTAATTAAAAATAAACGTACGTACATAAATAAATACAAAAATATTTCAAAAATTACATAAAATTTTCATTTTAACTTTTCGTAATTGGAAAAAAACAGATGAAATTCTATGCTTTCAAATATAAAATAAATAAAAATAGACATTTTTTGTGTAAAATATTAAAAAAATTATAAAATTATAAATACTTACATACATATATACATATATTTTATTGAAATTATTTTAAAAACAAAAAAAAATATAAAAAATAAAAAGCTCCAAGTAAATTCAATTTCTAATTAGATGTTTTTTTTATTAATTTTGTTTTAATAGTAGGTTTGTTTTAATTCTCATGGTGTACAAGATATTTCGGTGACGATATAAATGATTCATTACATTTTCTGTAATTCCAAGAAAATATATCAATGCTCAGGCTCCTCTGATATAGAATTCATGAAATTCTCTTGCAAAAAAATGCTATTCACTTAGCAATTTTAAATTTTTTGTTGCAAGCGATACAAGAGTAATCCAAATTATGCGAAACTGCGAAAAAACTATATCCGTTCTTACTGAGTATTAAAGTGAGTACACAATCTAAGATTGACAAAATTTTGAAACTTTTATTACCATTTTAATTAATTTGATTTTTTCAATGTATTTTTTTCTTTTGAATAACTTTTATTGTATTTTTTTCAATTTTAAAAGTAAATTTTGCATTATGTACCAACTAACTTTAAAATGAGAATTCTAAGTTAACATTTTATTAGAGTCTTTCTTTTCAATAAAAAGATTTTAATTATCCTATTCTTGAACTTGTTCAGCTTCTTTTCTCATTAAAGATGTTAAACTTTTAATACTATCTAATAACTAAAATTAAAAACAACAATTTGATGATTATGTACATTTTAGATGATGTGAGAAATTTACATACTTTTCCAATTCCAATATTTGATTGATCTATAGCTTGCTGGCATTTTTCTTTTTTCTTATATTTTTCATCCAAATTTTTATTAATTATTGATAATTCTTTTTCTAAAGCAATGATTTTGTCAGTTACCTAAAATAAAATTGTTTTAAGATTCATATTTCAATATTACCAATAAACAAATAAGATTAGTAAATAGACAAATACATAATTGTTTAAAGCAAAATACTTGAATGCATCCTATTATTTTTATTATTAAATGGTATCCATGTTTTTGATTGACTTACACCATTCCAATTTTGTTTAGGATTAGGAGAGTGAAGTAACATCCCCGTACATACATATATAAGTACTCATGCTGGCACTTACTATGTAAGTTTAGATACATACCTGCTTTTTCTCTTCTTCTAATTCTTTGATTTCTAAACTAATCTGCTCGTTTCGATCTCTGATAAATTCGGTATCTAATTAAAGAAATGAAAATCAAAACTTTTATACCCATAATTGTGTGAACAATTGTTTATGCAGGAAGGTAAACCTTACATTTAACTAATTCTATATTAAAACTTTGTAAAACCGCTCCATTTTTAGACATTCTTAATAAGTACAGTATAATATTCTTCTAATTTTAATAATTTTTGTTTATTTTTATTAAAATAATAAATGCAATACAAAAAAAAACTGTTTTGGTTTTCCTAGTTTAAAATGAATCAACAAAAATGTCAAAAAATCTGCAAAAACAATAAAGTAAATAATGTAAGTTAATAAAACTCATCACATATGTCGCTACTTACCTAGGAGTCATTGTAGGAGTCAATATGAGGAGTCAAGTCGCTATCAGAAGTTGCATTGAGATTTTTATAGTAGTGTGTGTATTAAACGTTTGTTTGTAAAATTGGTTAACCGTAAAATTAGCATGAGTTTTAAATAAGAAAGTTACTTTCTTGCAGATTCCGTTTTTTTAAGATTATGTTAATAGCAAGTTACAACAAAAAGCAAGACCAGTATTATAGGAATATTTATTTTATTGGATGAAAAAAAAATTTAAGCATGCATGCATATGTTGAAATATGTAGAGTTTACAGGTATTAGGCAAAAAGAAAAAGGAAGACGTTCCAGTCCTAGTGGACATACTTAGTCTCTCACAACACATAACACATTGAAATAAACATGAAAAACAAAACAAGTTTTAAGTTTTTCATATATTTTGGCTTTTAAGAATTAAATATCATAAGGTAGGTATAAAGTACTATAATTTGTTATACATAATTTTTAAAATTTCTATTGTATATATAATCAAAATTTAAAATGAATATATTGAAAAATTAAGCATAACCAGCAGCTCTTACTTCCGACCACACTTGATTTAATTCTTCTGGATCTGTATAACCATGTGAGGCTATAACATATCTATAGCTAGGCGGTCCCCTATAGGTCGCTTTATAAAAGTAAAACTCTTCATTATGAAGTGGTTGTATTTTAGCTTTGTAAGCTACAATTCCCAAATATATATCATCAAATCGAAAATGCTTCGTAAACATACTAACAAAGAACATTTCTAATAAAGCTTCACGTGATAAGATGAATGCACCAGCTGTTACATACGGTGGCCATAAATGATATGGATATTCTTCCAAACTAACATACCATTTACTTGACTTATGACGATGTGGTGATGATGAAAATACAAAACCTGAGAATAATTTTGCATTTTTAGGCAACTCCATATCCATTAAATTGCGTTTTCTTCTAACTTTCTCTTTTGAATTTTCTTCAATTTTTCCTTTGATAACAAATTCTTCAATTTTATGATAATGCTTTTTATTATCAACTGAATTCATTCCTTGAGCCAATAATTTATTAGCTTCCTTATATAATTCAGATTTTAGTGTTTCATTTTTTAAATCTGATTGCTTTAAACGTCGTGCCAGTTTTCTTAAAGCTTCATCTGCGGCTTCTAAATATTCTGGATACTTTGTTGGATATCTAATAAATCTTAAAACATTTTTTGTTGAAACATAATAATCATCGTCAACGAACATGAAAAATTCACTTCGTAAACAGTATTTAACTGCCCACTGAAAACCCATCATTGTTTTAATAGTATTGTTAAAATAAGTATCAATAAAATCAGCTTGTACAATATCTTGATATTGTTCCGATTCTATATCAATATGTTTTTGTAATTCTCGATTATCATTAATACCAAGTACAAAAACAGTTTTTATCACAATATCTGAAAAACGTCTTTCATAGCCCCAAGTCTTACGTATTGCTAGTCTTTGATTAAAATTTTTCATTGATGATTTAACTATGAAGGTAACTTTTGGTGCTACTGTATGACCTAAAAAAATATATTTTTTTTTATATAAAGTTTTTCATATATGTATACACATATGCATACTTACCATCTTCTAAACATTTGTTTTCGCATTTTTTAAGAAATGTATAATTATAAAAATTTATTGGTTCAACATCACGTTCTTGATTATATCGAATTTGATGAGCATAACGTAATACTTGAAATATGTGTGTACAAAATAACAGAATGTTAGTATTGTAGTTGATTTCATGAAAATCTCGGCATATTTGAACTTACCATCACCATCTAATGGGTAACTAAATGAAGTTTCAAAATTTAATTCAAAAAGATGTGTAAATATACCGAAAAAATCTATTAAAAATACGCATATTATACCAAACAAAAAATATTTTATTTTGAAACGATAAAAACAAGATCTCCATGTTCTAAACATTTTCTAGATTTTATTCTATTTTTATTAAATTTATTTTTTTTTATTAAATTTATGACATGACTAAAAGCTTTAAATTAAAATTATATATTTATCACATTATTTGAATACAAAATTTTGCTTCTTTAATTTAATTAATCAAATAAACAAAAGCATATAATAGTAAATGAGTCTTAAATGCCTTCTTATGGAATGTAAACATTTAAATGTCAAAACAACATCGAAAATTTTCTGATTTTTTTTTTGAGCATCAGGGTCTTTCTGTGTATTTCAGGGTTGACCGTAAAACCATTTCATTCGTTATTTTACACCATATGCAACAATTTTTGGAATGAAAATATTACGTGTTAAAGAATATTGCAGGTCTAAAAATCAAAAAAAATCTCACACAAATTTATTAAATAAAAAGCTAGCTGAAAAAAAAACTTGATTAAAAAAATAATTTAGTTGTCAAAATATATGTTAAAATTAATATAACTTTTCAAAAAATGATCAACCTGATCGTGTATCTCACTCACTTTTTACTCACTTTCAAATCAGGATTCTCAGTTTTTTCTAATGGATATTTCCAATAAGATTATGTATTTATTCTCAAATTATCGACTAAACTTCTCGCTTTCAAAAACAAAATGACTAAATTTTGTGTACATTTTAGACAAAAAAACGAGAAAACCAAAACCAAATAATTCTCACAAGCTCACTAAATCATTAATAAATTTGTAATATTTTTCTTGAATCTAAATGCTTAAAATTATTGAATTGTTTAATATTATGTGGTCATATAAGTGTTATACAGTTGAAGTTCTTTGAAAAATAAGTTTTTTTAAATACATGTTTTTTTCACTACATTAAGTCTTTAATTTTCATTATACATAGTACGCCTACAGAGAGTTTTTTTTACATTACGTTATGTTGAATTACTTTCAATCAGTTCTATTTTAAATCAGAAAAGTGTATTTAAATTTATTTTCTGCCTTATATTGTGCCAATCTACGACATCACTTGTTTATAAGTTTTCTTAATATTTATTAAAAAAAGTAATTGAAACCCATTATTCATATTTATTAGTAATTTTTAAACACGTTTCAAGTTGAAGCAATGATAATATAATATAAAATGATGACCCATGTTGTTTGTTAAACTGATTGTTGTTTATTTGCGAGTTTATGATGTTTTTTGTGCTTTTATTGGTGAAATATTTAATGTTTAATCTTAGCAACAGTTGTCTGACGTAAACGTTGAGCATATTGTTGTATTATTGATTTTACGTCAAATCAACATTTTTCCAAACATGCACGTTTCAATTATAATATTAAATAATTTTAACAAAAGCGCCATGACAGTCTATTTTATCTCCATATAAATGTTAATTGACTTGAAAAAATTTTGCATATCTGACTTAAAATCATGAAGTAAAAACTCCAGTAGAAAGCTTAAAAACTAGAAAATGAGAGAACATTATTGTATTTTTCCATAAATTATATTTATATAATTATATACATAAATATTTTTTTTTATTTTTAAACTTTTTATTATGTATTATCTTATTTAATTAGCGCCATTTTTCTAAAGTGAAAAAAAGTTGTACTAATAAAAAAAAAGGGAATTTTTTTTGACAACCCTGACATAAATGTCTTCAAATGAAAAGTAAAAGGAAATTTTATATTTTTGATTGAATTTATGTTTTTTTTTTTTGAGCATAGTGTAAAAAAAAACAACAAAAAAAAAATTCCTCTGAAGGTATACAATTAAAATGTTGAGAATTTTAACTGAATTTTTATTAATAAAATCATAAATATTTTATTGTAAAAACATTATGTAAGAATTTTATTTTATAAATTTTATAATAAACAGTTTAAATTATTGAAAATTTTAATTAAAATTTGGTATTTTACTAAATTGAAAGGAAAGGAGGTTCATTGACCTCGATAAGTCAGTGACAGCTTTTTCAATTTAATATTTTTCTTGTTTTTTTTAGTTAAATAAAAGTTTTAATTGTTTAATTTTTATAAAAATTAAAATATTTAATCAATTGCACATTTATTTAAAATCATATAAAGTTATTTTTAAAGGAAATAAGGAAAATTTAAGTAAATTGTAAACTTAGAAAATTTTTTACGCTAAAAAATCGATTTGTAATGTGTAAAAAGTGAATTGACCTCGCCAACAAATAAAATATTCGTCGTGTAAATTGTTTAGTTTTTAGTTTTTTTTTTGGTTTTTCTATTTTTTGTTTTGTTTTTTTGGAAAGTGAATAGAAGTGGCTTTTCATTTATAAAATTATCAAAATATTTATTTTAAGACAAAAATAGTGCGTATTTAAAAAAATAATTTTTGTGTAAAAATAAGAAGAAAAAGAGAAATTTTTTAATATCATATAAAAATATAGGTAAAAAAATTTTGCTTTCAATACTTATCTTTGCTATAACAAAACTATTCAGGAAGTTTTCTCTCTGGATAGCTATAAAATAAGGAAAAAAAAAATAAACAGTTGCTATCGATATAAAAAAAAAAAATTGGAATAATTAAGGTTCCTACCCAAGCTACACAACATAAGAATATAATGGACACAAATGATAGAGGTAAATAAATTTTATTTTTTATGAAATTTTCGAAAAAAAATATGAATATTGGTTTATTTATTATTTAAGGTTTATGTTTTGATTTATTTGGAATGAATGCACTATTATTTACAAAACTAAATCCCGTCTTAAATTATTGGAAGATTATTTTTTTTGGAAAAAATTTTGCAATTATGAAAAAAGTGAAAGTCATAAGAAGGTAGCAGGGATCTACCTTAATGATTATTATTGAAACTAAGATTAAAATTAAGTACTTAAGCACCTACTGTTTACAGTGATATATGTAGCTACAATTAATGATAATTTAACAATTTTTTTTTAATCAAAGAAAAGTGCTCGTAATTCTTTTATGTACTTATATATATATTTTGTAAATTTTCCACCTAATTTGTTTGGAAAACGTTTGTTGTTTGTATATTTTACTACGCATCTAATTATAACTAAATATCATAGATATGGTACATACATACATACAGAATACTACGTTTCAAAGAACTCGTTTCAAAATGGGAAAAATATATTTTCATTCAATTTTCTTGAGTTTTCCACTATACATATGTACATAAATATATATATTATATTTTGTTTTAAGCGCAACATGAACAAAAATATTTTTGCTAAATTGTAATATTTACGTAGGAAGACGATAACCTTTTTATATATAAATGTTTTGTGTTATGTGGGTAAGTGGGTAGGGTATACTTACATAATATAGGTAAGAATAGGTAGATAAGTAGGTACTACCTATATCTACTTTGTATCCTGGATATATATTTTTTATTTTGTTAAAAAGTTGAAGGTCAATTAAATGTCATTTCGGTTTATTCTGATTTTAATTATTTTTGATTTTCATTAATTTATTTAAACATATACCACGGTTGTATCTAATGTAAAAATTATTAAAAATTTTAAAAACCATTAATTATAAGTATAGGTAATTAAGTCACAATTTTTCCATGTTTAATAGGATATCATGTAATTATGACGAAGACAGTAAAATTGAAAAGGAAGTGGATCAATTTGTTGTATTTATTTGAATTAAGATCATAGTTTATGTATGCTTTTAAATTATAATATTATACTTACATCTTATTGAGTGTTTATAAAAATTTCCTATTTTACAATTTTAAGTTTTCCAATTTCAATATATCTATAATAATATTATTTAATTTTAAATTCTTTTTAGAACTTGTCAATTTTTTTATTCAAGTTTAGACCTTTATATAAATGGGGTAGCAGGTGGGTTCGGAAATGTGGTAGTGGCAGGATTTGAATTTTTGCATTAGATTTTTTAATTCTTGATATTAAGTATTGCAAATTTTTAACATTCTATAAAATTTTTTTTCTAAATTAATATTAATTAAAAGCACTTGATATAGTTTAACTTTTGAGTTATTGCTTTTGAAGCTAAAAACTACAGATTTCTAATTGGTTCTAATTTTCGTTTAATATTGAAAAAATCAATTTTCTCGTTCTTAATCAAAATTTATATCATTACATTGATACTAATCAATAAGTGAACGTTTTTTTTTTTCAGATAGTTTCTTCATTCTGATTGATTATATGAATTTCCTGTCAAATGTCTCTAAAATCTAATCATCTTCATCGGAATAAGTATTATTCTGAGAATGAGAAAAAAAATGATTCAAAAAAATCACATACCTTATACCAGATGTAAAAGTATGCTCACATCTGCTTTGATTAAATTTTAAACAAGAAGTATAAATACACACAAGAGAAGAACTTTAACATGGGCTTCCAATTAACTACGATTTTTTGTACAGTTTGTAACATAGAAACATTTTCATTGGAAAAATATCCAAAACAAATTTATTGGTTGGTAGCTTATAAGTTGATTTATATAGAGCTAAATGCTTAATACAATGTTTTGTTTAAAATCCCATTTGGGTGAAAGAAATGTATATACGTATATATATATATATATATTATATAAAAAATAATGAATATTTTGCAAGCCAAGGAATTATTAAAGTAAGAACAAAAAAAATCTATCTAATCGAAAATTTAGGACCGAAAAAAAAGCATATGAAAGAATGAAATTTGCTTTTTTCTTCCATTTCATTTTTATAAGCATAAATTTTTATTTTGTTTGTATATGTATGTAAAGTTATAGATATTTTGTTAATAACCTTGAAATTTGGTTAGTTTTCGATTCATGTACATATGTACGTTCTTATTGTATGGTTTTAAATTTTCAATACGAGAATATTTTGCTGAAGATATGATGTAAGTGGTAGCAAATGAAGTTTTTAGTGAGGCGATATTGAAGTAGTTCAATTGGAATTTTTAGTTATTAAAATCGTAGTTTGTGATTTTCTTACTGCCTTTTTGTTTTGTTCGTCGCTGAAAACTAAAAATGTTCTGATGTTGCGCTAAAAGATACACGTGTGTCGTGTGAACGATTACAGTGTTTTTATATTTCCATTTTTGAAGTGAAATTTTAATCAAATCAAATCAAAGACAACTTCAACTCTAAATGTGGCTAAAGAGTGTTAAA